ATGTACACAAGTAATATGAGACGTCTTGAAGCTTGATCGACAACATCGGCAGTTCAGGCTTCGGTCAGGGTCTTTCGAGACTACAAACACTTCTACTATCAGTTTAATTAGATTTAATTTCCTTTTAGATATCCACTTGCTCAATGTCATTAACTAAGTAGCACTTTGTTATGTAAACTATTGGAGTAGCTGTGGAGCAATCAAGGCAAAGTCCTCGTCAAGCCAGTTCTAGTCGGTTCTATTGCAATTTATTGAATCTGAAACCCGCCAAGACAAAACGTCTACAGTTCAAATTTACCTATTTATAGGCATTTGTTTATTTTTAGTTCTCTAATCAATGAGCCGCGTCCACTCTGATAAGATTGCGAAATGTTCAGAAATTCGCGCAATTGCCTATGGGTAAACTTATAGATATCAAGCCTCAATGTTTCGACACAGGCTGATACATTTGCTCAATTTATATAATGAACACCACAAACATTCCGTTTTCAATGGTTTTTTTTAATAAATTGTTTTTAAATCTAGTAATTTGCATGCAACTTAAATGCCCATTCATCATGGCCATAATTAATTACATTAAACTGGCCTAGCTTTGCCGCAACTAAATTTATATTATATATGAATTTTTAATGCGTGCATAATTATAGTTATATATAGACACGTTACCAGGAGCTAAGTACGATAACGACTAGCCCGAAATTTGCACAAAATATATTTTTAAAACTTTTGCTGAAATGAATACCATATAATCACCCCATAAGATAAACTGCCGTCGAACATCCAATATCCGTTAACCGCCAAAATGACAGTTGGGGTTTATCTTAGACCAGAAAATTGCTGTCGCTATTGTGAATTCTGTCGGCACGAACAGATTTTCAATCTTGACACACTTTCAAAACAACAACACCCAATAAGCTGCGAGGGCTATACTTGTTCTTTGGAAAGGGAATTGTTCTTCTGATATGAGATATATGTATAACTATTCCATTTTATCGGTCACTTTCGCGTAGATCTCACAAATAACTTCTATGAGGAATTAACAGATCATAATCTGTATCTATATAGGATAATGAATTTTCGAAATTTTAAGGCTGCGGCTCTTATAGACTCGGAGTTAGACAGACAGGCAGATAGAACTATCCACTTTAAGATACTCTGTAACAAGCTTTATTATATACTGCGTAACAAGCTTTATTATTATATATAGCACTAGCGGGTATAACCCGGCCTTGCCCGTGGCACGTATGTTATAAAATCAAAAAAGCTTTGAAAATGATTTTGAAACTGATCGGACGGGAATCAAACAACTTTTATGCAAATCGGAAAACTCTTAAAATTCACCAAAAAAGTCTTAAAAATGCATTTTCCACCGAAGGAGTTTAGATTTTGCCAGAAATGTGAAACACGTCTCTAATGATTTTTCTTATAGATCTTTGGAAATAAATTTGAACACTAAACGTCATCCACAAAATCTTCGAACCCCATTTGCACCAAGGAGGGATGGATTTTTCAAAAAGTGTGAAACACCCCTCAAATGATTTTGAATATAGATCTTTGAAAATGAGTTTGGGGCCGATCGGATGGTAAACAAAAAACTTTCATACAACCGTTTTCCGCCAATATACCACTGTTGCGGGTGGAATTTTCCAAATCGTCGAAATACGTATTCATTAAGTTCTTATTGAGAGCTTTGAAAATAAGTTTAAAGCAAATCGGACACAACTTAAAACTTCGCCCAAAAAATCTTTAAATCGCATTCCCCCCGAAGAAGTTTGAATTCTGCGAAAAGTGAGAAACACGTCTCAAATGATTTTTCATATAGATCACTGGAAATGAATTTGAGCTCGAAACGTCACCCACCAAATCTTTGACCTCCATTTCCACCAAGGAGGAACGGATTTTTCGAAAAGTGTGAAACACCCCTCAAATGAATTTGAACAAAGATCTTTGAAAATAAGTTTGGGGCCGATGGGATGGTAAACAAAAAAGTTACATACAAACGTTTTTCGCGATTTTTCCACACTTGCGAGTGGAGTTTCCCGAAACCCCGTCTTAACGTGCACCTACATCACATAAGGTAGCTACAGTGAAAATTTCAGCTTCCTATCTGTTACGGTTTGGGCTGTGCGTTGATCACCAATCAGTCAGTCAGTCAGTCAGTCACTCAGTCAGCCAGTCAGTCAGTCAGGACAAACAGTTTTATATATAGAGATTATTATTAATATGAAACATAAAACTATTTTCATGTAGAAAATAATCTAAATTTAAAATATAAGATCTATTTTTCATTTTGCTGTTTTATATATACATTATCAGCTATTTTTACTGGGCACAGGGTATATAAAACAACACAATTGCGTGTTCGCAACTTTAATAAAAATCCCTAATAGTTTGGCAATTAAATGGCTTTAAGCGCCATTATAATTAAATGTATTAACATTTATGGCCATTGGCAGTGAAAACTTTTTAATATACAAATGTGGTTAAGAACTGTTTCTGACATGTTCATAAATTATGTTAAATTTAATTGTCCTGCTCTTAAAGTAAGCCGCTTACGTTCTTAAATATATTTTGTTTCTGAACTGAAGTGAAAAAATTAAAAGTTTACAAAACTAGAACGTAGCTCTGGTGCACATTGTGGAAAACTTAATGGTCCGTGAGGTATGTGTCATAATTATTAATTATTTAAAGAATTTTATCGACTTCTGTGAACAAATATACAATGGTATTACAAGTATGTAATAATTCGTTTAAACTATCTTTTAATCTGTATTTTCGACAAATGTCCTTTAAATATTACATATAAACAGCTAAGAACGTTAAATTATTTAATTAAAAGTTAATTAATAGAATTTTACATATATTTAACAGGCTATCAAGTATATCTAAAATAAAATATTCTAGTCAGGCATTTGACAGGAAAAATCATCATAATTGTAGAAATCCCTGTAAAAGCTAAAGTCGTGAAAAACGTGTGAGTTGCTGTTTGCTAAATGGAGTGGAAGGCATTAACAGCAAACAAAAACATATGCAAATACAATATATGTGCATTCAATTTGTGTTGGGGTTTCTGAGGTCCACCCATATGCTGCACATGTGCACATATACGAGTATTACGGTTATGTATCTGTCGGCGGGAGCTTAACTAATACATTTAGATTTCAATTGTTTTGATAAATATTTGCATTGGCTTCTCTAGAGGCTCAACTCTTATTAGGCACAAATTTACGCATTTATTAGGCCATCAGCTGGCGCAAAAGTCAAGTATTTGATACAACATATCTCTGGACATAGGTATTCAGACATGTTTGAAATTTCAATGGGGCGCGTCGTATGTGGGCGCAGAGGAAAAAATGCATAATGTAATGTGGTTGCCGGAAACAGCAGGTCCTTTTAGTTCCGCCAACTATACGGGTTCGCTTGCTTGCATAGCAATGCTGAATTGCATTACGCATACGCACTGTGTGGGTGTGACTTAAAGTGTTCGAGACAAGCTGCATACTTCACTGGGTCGCCAACTGTCACAACCCGTTCAGATGTCAAACTGAGTTAACAAATTGATGCGAAGCTTGTAAGCCCAACAAAAACTCGGTGTGCCACAGAGTGTGGAATTAAATATTTGGAAGCTGCTCGAGTGGGATCAAAGCGTAACTGACTGCAGACCAAAGCATTCAATTAAATTAAGTGACTGTATTAAGTTAACAACAAAAAAAGACAAAGCAGCTAATTAATGTCTGTTTGTTAGCGCGTTTTCTCTAAAATCAAATTTACAGTGTACTCAATGAAGTATACATAGAGTTTGCACTATAAAATGGAACATAAAGGCAACAGAAATCTTTGCTTGGTAAGATTAGAAGATAAATAAAATTTCTCATTTTATTTCATTATATTTTGTCAGACTGGACTAGCCCATGTCCAAATCAACAGCATACTAAACGTATGGTAAAAGGGGAATTGAGGGGAATTACCTGACCAGAAAAGGGTATGTCATAGGATAGTGCAACTATTATTATTCATACAAAAACAAAAACTTTCCGAATTTTTGTATCTTCCATAACTCAGCTGGTTTCAAGTGTTCCAGGTTTCGAAAAGACATGAGAGAACCACAAGCAGGAATCACATATCTAAATGATACGATTACTTTATGGCCTTTGAATCTAATAAGTAAATAGAATACAATGCCAGCTCGGAAAATTAACATTAAGGAATAAGAATTCTCCGTTTTATGTGGATATACAAATTATAAGAAAATTTAATTGATATTTAACTGAAATAAAGCCTAATAATTAACTTTAAAAATTAAATAAAAAAATATAATAGTAATATAATAAAATGATTTTGTGATTATTTATTGGAAAAAGAATCGTTGAGCTTTAAATATATACATACATATAATTTAATTTAAATAAACTTAAGTAAAGTATTAAAATTATTCATGGAAAATTATATTTTAAAGAGACATTTTAAGAAATTCAGTTTAGTCTTTCCTTATATTATCTCTTTTGATTATATACAAACAATTTAAATTTGTATTAAATTTGAGAGGAAATTTAAAATAAGTTTAAAAGTTTAATCAAATTTGGACTACACATGACTGCGTTTAACTGGATAAAAGCTGTCCGAATTGTCAAACAAGCATCTAACATGAAAAAAAATGTAAACGTGCTCAGAAGTCGGGATCTAAGCTGCATTCTCTAGGAAATGTGAGTGGGGAGTTGCGTCGGACCACAACATAAGTGCGTACTTCATGTTTGTATTTTCTGTGCCAATGTGTTATATTTTCTTCGTTGACGGCAGATGTTTCTAAAGGTCAACAGACAGGTTAAAATCTTATTTATATCTGCCTTAAATTAAAAGAATTTTTGAATAACTGGCTTTTTAAGCGACTATGGCAGTTATTTTTTATTTGATGAAAGTAAATAAAAAAAAATATTAATACACTACGGGGAATTCTTTGGTGCTTCCGTTAATGAATTCTTTGAACGCTTCGTGGAGCTTACCTATTCTGGGTGGCTGTGAGACACTATAACATATATTTGAATTGGCTTTGATTTGATGTATTATATACTTTATTTGAGTAAGACACTTTTATGCTGATAGCAATTCTATTTATTTCTCAGGCACTTTTACGAACTACACGCAATTAGCTTCTTTTTTTGATGATTCAACAATTAGTAGTGCGATAAATATGCTTTTTGTGCCTGCTCAAGAGTTGATGGTACAGAAATAAAGTGCTGATATGTCCGCATTGACATCAGAACACAATATCACACACAATCTCGCGTTTTCGCAAATCGTTGACAGTTTCAGATATTCACGTTTCGCCGCGTAATTTAACCCGAAATGCGCGCTTTCCGCTTAACTGATATTTTTCGACTATTATTGGCGAAGTATTAAAAAGCTTGCCAGCACTTTTACTAGCCATCAATTTTAGCACATTTCACCAATGCAAAACCAACTCAACAATGGGCCATGTTAGTGATAAGAAAGCGCCCAGATAACAGGCAGCAGGCTAGTAGATGCTTCACTTTTTGCTGTTAATGAGCTGGCAGTTAACAGAGCTACTGTTAGCACGCTGTTATCTGCCAAGCGCTAATAATCATTTTCCTGATAATAGTACTTAAATCGCCTCCAATTTTACACTTTTGGCTGATTTTTAACAAATATTTAGCGATTATTACCAAACTATTTGGCTCTTTTTGCCTTTAATAATAGCTCCATTCGTTAGGTGACTAAAAATAATGATTTTCGACTTAGATTTGAAAATCATAAATAATTGTAGTCCTTCTCATTCACCAGCTTAAAGTTCAAATTTTAAACAAACCATTCGTTAGTAGATAAATCTATATAGTGGGTAGCCTAGTAAACTTATTCTGAATTTTTCTCCAGATCAAATATCTTGAATATACTTATTAAAAGCAGATACCATACTTCGTTATGAAATGAAACAAGTAAGAGGTTCTAGTCTGGAGCTCCCAACTAGGGGATACCCTGAACCCTCTTATTCCAACCCCAAATGCAGCTCGCGCTACGCGCTCTTTTGCGTTAGTAATAACAAAGATACTTTAAAAAACCAAAAAGTTCCCTTGACAGGGCTCGAACTCGAAACTGACCGCATAACATGCTGCCGCCTCTATTCAACAGCCATACCAGGCAAAAAAAAAATAGTTTCCTCGGTAGGTTCGAACTCGCAACGTACCGCACTACTTGCCACCGCTTCTACCCAACAGCCACATCAATAATTGAGTATTTATGAGAAAAAAACGAATTAAAATAGCAGCACAGAAAACAATACAATTGCAATTGTAATGCTGTTGATAGAATTCAAAGCAGACGCGCATGAATGTGTGTGTGTACATGTATACAGAAATTTTTGTAATTTGCGCTTGCTGCCGCTATGTGGTAGTAGCGGGGAGGTGGTGATACCTATAAAATGAAAGATACTTGATATATATATACTATTCTAGAAGCTACATGTCAAGTTTGGTGATTCTAGCTCTTATTATTTACCAAATTTGATCAAAAACAGGAATTCGATATCGATTATTTTTGAATACTTGGAAACGGGGCAAGTTATCGAATATCAGAAACAAACTCAATCTGCGCGGGCACTTGGAAGACCTACAGCTCAAATTTCAAGTCTCTAGCTCTAATAGGTTCTAAGACACTTACGGTCGGACGGAAGGACAGACAGACGGACATGGCTAGATTGGCTCGGCTACTGATGCTGTTCAAGAATATATATACTTTATGGGGTCGGAGATGATTCCTTCTGCTTGTTACATACATTTGCACAAATACATTATACCCTTTTCAGGGTATAAAAATCATTAAATTACCTGAAAAACAACATGTCGTATGCGCAATGTAATCCAGTTGCACGTTACGTATACGCCGAGTGCCATCTGTCTGAGCACTAAGAGCTCCAGCGTTTTTTGCTCTTCGAAGACACGATTAAGGCAAGTGCGATTAAAATGAAGGCTGGTCTATTATTTTGTTGTTGCTGTGTTCGCGTGATGGTATGATGGGAAATGGCTTTCGAGTGTGGCTAACACTTGTCTTCTTTTTCATATCTTCTTCTTTTCATTTACATAAAACTGAATGAGCCGTAAGAAGCTAAGTTTTTACAGCAGCTACTTTTTATACACTCACCAATTGAACATGGGTTAAAAATAGGTATAATAGTTATGTGCAAATGTACATATATAGCTGTCAAAAGAAGGCATCTTTGGCCCCATAAAGTATATGATTTTCATCAGAATGCCATGATGAGTCAATCGGGTCCCGTCTGTCTGCCCGACGGCTTGTCTGACTTTCTGTCCGTACCCGTAAGCATGTCGATCTTGGGATTTCGATTTTAAATATTATGTATATTTTCGCATATTCTACTTCGAATGAAGTATTATATTTTTTTTAAAACCTTTCTTCATAACATCGAAATTAATCAACTCAGCAATGGTGAAATATAACTAGAAGATTATAAGAGCTAGATAAACATAACTTTATATATGGGTTCTCGTATGGTATACACATTTGAAGAATATTTTATACTGTAGATATCTCCCGATTTATTCTTAAAATGAAAATTTTTTTGCGGATATAGCATCACATTTTGGTTGGCACACACTTCTACATGCCACAAGTATGCTCTAAATTTTTCATAAAAATCGTACTGTATACACTGAACTTATTCAAGAATGCAGCTCCAACAAGGGGACTTTACCGAAAATGTATAAAGTTATTCCTGTTTAAATGGGTACGGATAAGTCGCCCCTTATTGATACAACAAGAAGCAGTTTTACGGCTACAAGCGACCTTTTTAATTTATTTATATTAATATTATTAAGTGCTTAAGGCTGACAATGGGTTAAAGCTTTACAGAGCAATGTGCATGTGTGTTATTGCTTAACATGTGTGTGTTTGCCTGTGTTTGTGTGTGTTGGACTTGTACTGATAAATACAAAATGGAAGTAGCTAACATTTATCATTAATCATTTACTTAAAGCTACATAAGCCGTGCCTTGCATTATGAGCTGCATGCTTTACTCTCTCGCCCTCGCTAACTTTCTTTGTCTCTCGCTTTCTCTCTCTCTGCTTAGATGGCATCGCCGTCTTCGTTGATGGTCTTGAATATAATGTCATAGACGTGATCGATCAGCTTAGTCCACGTTTCTACTTGACTCTCGTTTAGACTGCAGGCAGCGGTGAGCACTTCCAGAATAACTTCTTTGAGTTGCTATTAAAGCAAAAAAATAAAAATTAAAACAAAAATTAAATTGTATATTAATAAGAAGATCCCATGGCACTTACATTGTAAGATTCTCTAGATATTCTTCGTGGTATGTGGTTAACTGCCACCTTGGTCCATATCTCATCCAGTTTCTCCTGATCACCATCCTGGCCGAGCACCCTAATCGACTCGTCGAATACACGAATTATGCGACCGGCATGGGCCCGGAAACGTGCATTGGACTGCAGTGCAAAACGTTGAATTGAACTCCTCAGCTGTGGAGTGATTTTTACTTATTACTTACGGGTAACTCTTCCAATGGTACATCACGAAATGGAAATTTATCCAACGCGGACGGAAAACGATTGATGAACGCCGTTAGTATAGCAGCTCCAGAGTCTGTTGGTGTCGCCACGGGTATTTCCCAAGTCTTCCTGATCATTTCCAACTCATCGCTATTCATGTTTTCGGCTCAAAATACTCGTCTAATGCTGCTGCTGCTGCTGCTCTTCAAATGGTAGCCTCGGTATTGGGTTTTAAGCTGTCAAACAAATGAGATGTACGCATTAGTATTGTCATAAATCAGAGTACCAGCCTTCACCCTCACTCTCTCCCTCTTTCTCTCTATTTCTCTCTGTCTGTCGCTCTGCCTGTCTCTCCAGCAAACAATTAAGATTGACAGTTTTACATTGCAATTGTCAGTTAGCATTCGCATTGTTGGGCCCGGCAAACAATGAGCGCTCGCTAGCAACAAGCCGACAACAATTGAAAATCAAAATAACAATAATGCCACAACAACAGTGGGTTATATACATGTGCGCACACACCACGTGCTAAAAGTCAATGGCTTCGCTATGACACGAACAACCACACAAACAAAAGTTCATATGTGAATCGACGTTCAGCGTCCAGTCGGTAATCCCAACAAAATATTATAAATTATTATAGAGATGGATGCGTGTCTGCGTTCCTCATTTTTGAACTACTTAATAAAAATAAAAAAATAGTTAACATTAAATATAATAAGTTTATCTGAATATTTCCAATATTATGTATATATACATATATATATATATATATATATATATATATATATATATATTATTTTTGTTAAAGTAATACAAATTATCATGACATCTACACAAAAAACTATATTATTTATGCCATTTATTTAAGAACAAGAAAAGGATTTAATCTTTTCTGCTCTTCTATATTATAAATCGTAAATCTGCAAAATACGTTCATAAAAGCAATTAAAAGATGAATCGTAATGAGAATAGAATATTTATTGCATATATTTGAATATAACTGTGAAGGGACTTAAAACTTTTAAAATTAATTTTGGTTTCATCTCGAATCAAGTTCGTGTTCAGCTCTGTGGACCTGACTTTGCCTCCATCCCACTCGCCCCTCTCTGTTGTGGTCGCACATCTCAATAAGCAAATCTTGTGGCTTGCTCCCGTTTATATAAATTATGGTGGCACTTGATTTGCATTGTGAGGCACACATTCAATTCAGATGCTCGACGAGAATAGGGATTGGAATAGAGAGAAAGAGAGAGAGAGAGCGAGAGAGAGAGAGAGAGAGAGAGAGAGAGAGATCTGGCTGGAGGTTCCCATGCGGAAAACGGAAATATAAACAGCAATGGCAAAAATACACATGCGAATAACACATATATGCCCCAAAAATGAAAGCCCACAAATCGAATCTCATTGCACAGGGATTGTTAAACAATAAAACTCAATTATGAGGTAGTATATTTATTTGGACTAAACTTGAGTCAATTGGCGCTTATTTAAATGCAAATAACAATGATTATTCAATACGCCTAATACACATAAATATTTATGCCGAATGCTTAAAAGAATGCCCACTGTTCAATTTTCATGAGATATTTATGAGGAACTGCGGACAAAGCTAGATTGTTTAGCATAATATATGCCATTTTGGTTCCTCTTCTTATGAGATTTAAGGACAAAAACAATTAAAGAAAAAACAACAGCATGGGCAATAAGCAAGAATAATTCAAAACGGCATCTGCAAAAGTCAGTTGAAAGTTTTATAAAAATGTACAAGCTGGCAGGCCAACCTCAGGCAGCAAACTCACACACACACACACAGTGAGAGAGACATCATGTGCAAAAATAACAAACAGACAGCACAACAGTGAAATGGACTCAAGTGCAGCCGCAGCAGGTGGCCACCATGTTATTGTTGCCGCAACGGGTCGGATTGGGTGGGGATAACAAGCTGGGTTGGCTAGCTAATGCCAAGTATAAGTGCGGCCATCAAAAGAGCTCAACTGAAAGACACCCTTAAATAAGTATGAAATTTCTAATTTCTAACTGTCAATAAACATTAAAACCTGAATTAGTACTACAAATTTACAGAATTTCGAAAGCAGAATTTCAGTAGAAACAAGCAGCGATTCCTAGCAGAAAATATACAATCAAATTTGATATATGTATAAACATTTATAATGAAACATGCAAAATACAAAAAGGTGAAATTAATATCAACAAAACGTAGAATTTTAACAAATAACATACTACGGAAAATGTCAAGAAACTCATAGTAAATCATTAAATGCCCGTCACAGTCACTAAAAAGCCCTTTACAATCGTTTTATTTGCAGGGTATTGAAAATGTGCCAACTGTAAGTAACCTTGTGTCGGAGCCCCTTTGAGACTCAATCATCATCATCGGCTTCTTCATTAGCATCATCATTATCAGCATCATCAACATCATCAACATCAACAACAATAGCAGCAGCTAGCGATGTTCATACGAACACACATAATTCCCCCCATTCCAAGCGTCCTGTGGCTTTTGTGGTTGATGTCACTACAGGTCTGTGCCCCACTACACATACATCAATCTATACATAGATAAATGTATGATGTGTGAGTGAGTGTGTGTGTGTGTGTGTGCTGCTGCAGTCAAGAGTAAAAAGCAACAACAAATCAAGCGTTGCCTCACTTGCCTTGCGTGTACTTGTGTGTAGTCTGTAAGGACATTGAGCGCTTAATTAAATTAAGGAAGCTTGATGGACAGCTACTAGACAACGAGACGCAGGCCTGACAGTACCATCCACTGCCCCTTCATCTACCTCTGCCTCTGGCCCAGCTCCTGCTGCTGCCACCTGGCCACATTAAAACCTACCAATCATTCAGGTGTTGCTAAAGGGATGCTCTAGCCTTGCCCATAAAAATGTGCATGTGCGAGTCTGGCGGTCTCTGCCTCTGTGCCTGTGTGTGTGAGTCTATAGTGTGTATGCTGTCACTCAAATGTCGTTGAGCATTTCAATGCTATTCTGGAGAAAAACACAAAATTATTTATTTGATCAAACCTTACAATGTCACTTTTGCCAAGAGGCTTGATCTTTCGATATTCTATATATTTTATACCTTATTTAAAAAGATTAACACAAAAATCAAATATTCGAATATAAGTACGTTCTTAAGTTGGGGCTATAAAATTTATTAACATTTTTAGGATTGACATAAAACATATGAAAATAAACTTGATCTGGGTTTCATCAAAAACATCAACAATTTATCAAAATAAAACTCTTCTGTTTTTCCCAAATATAATAAGAAATCATAGAAGAATAAGGGCATCTCCGACATTCTTATTTTATAAATATCACAAAAGGGTGTAATCTCGTTTGTTCTGACAACAAAAATAGAATAATAAGTTCAAGTTAAAATCTAATAAAAAAAAATACTTTTCAAGAAAAGTACAAGAAATATTCAGCTGTTTATTTTTAGAAAAAGAAAATAAATATAAAAATAATCCTATGTAACTTGAGCACAAGCCTTTCAAATTGAGCTCTGACTGAGAATAAATCGAATAAACAGCATCAAATACCTTTCCTGCTTAGCTAAATCGTGTTAAATTTGATTCCTGCAACCGCCCCAAAAAGCCGAGAGGCTTTTAAATTTAAAGCATGGCCGTTTTATTCGCACATGCACACATTTACAGAGTGAAGCACACACATACACACACATACAGATGTAGACATATGCTCATAGGAAACATTAACGATAATGACAAAAACAACAACGAAACGACACTTGTTCGCAAGGACACACGAGAAATCCATAAATTTAAAGCATGCTTTTGTGCGCCAGAGCGCAAAGAAGAGGAAAAACAAAACTAACTAAATACGAAACCGAAACAGAAACAGAAACAGACAACTTTAAATCAGCTGTAGCCTGTTGAGCGAGCGCGGCAAATTTAAAGAATTCGCAAAATACACAAGCTAATATTTTCACTTGAATTCACAGCTAACTGCAGTTGATATATAGTAATAATTATAGTAATGGATCTATGATAGTCGCACCCAATTCTTTCATAATTCCTCGAGCGGGTTTTCCAAGCGTTTTCTGTGGCGTTACGCCTTAAGTATTACACTTTTTCTTTTTGCAATTTGTTTATTTGTATTATTTACTGTCAGTTCGTTAGCCTGTCGTCGCAGTCGCTGCCGTCGACTCCACTATGAACCGCACGCTTTGCGTTCGAATCAGACACTGAGACTGAGACCTGAGGCAGAGCTGAGACCAGACTGATTGAGCACGCGACCAAACGGCTCGTTTTCAGCGTAAGCAAAGCGCGCTCTCTGCCGGCAAATACAGATTTGCACACTTGCTGTTGTTCCTATTGAGTCCGCGCCAAAAACGTGCAAGCCGAGTGGTGAGAGAGCAACAGCACAGAGGCGTCGCTAGCGGGGGTCATTTTGCGATTTCTTATCGGGAATGCAGTGCCAGGTGCCACCTGTAGACCATATTATTTGAGCTTTCAACAGAGAGAGCTAAGCTTTCCTACACAGTCTCTCTCTCTCTCCCTCTATCTATCTCTCTCTCTCTCTTTCTCTCTAAAAGCTTAGGGTTAAGCTTTTCTACCGCCAAAAGAAAACCCTATATTCAATAATTTCAAAGAATCAGACATTAAATAAATTTGGCCTTCGTCTGATAATACCTATATTAAACCTATCATATGATATTTAACTTGTCAAATATTAAGATAATAAAAATAAGATACATATATTTTTTAAATATATGTACATAGTTCTAGACCTTTTTTTCAGGAGTTTGGCGAACACCAATCTTTTGATTCACGCACGCATTGAAATTTTTATTTTTTCATTCAGTCTCGTTGGTAACCGCATTTCTATATAGCTACCTATCTGACCAAGTTCTGATGTTTTGTTCTAGATTTTCTACTTGTTATCAGCTCATTGAATGACGTCCATATAGAAACCCACACCAATAGCTTATCGATAATTAGCGAAAACAAATCTAGTTTCACAGCTCAGCTAAACAAAAAAAGCACAAAAGTCACACCACACTGCACTAATTCGATGTTGTTTATATAAGTAGATACTATATAAAGTTCCAGTTCCCATATAAATATTATTATTATCCAAACAGAACTCACTTTATTCACTGATGCAACCACACTCAACGCCGTTAAAATTCAAACTGAGCAGCATCGTCGACTCAGGCGGCTATTTAAGCGATTTCCGAACCGAACGAACCAAAAGCAAACAAACAGTAAAACAAAACTTCCGACCTAAAGGAAGACAAAGTTGAGAACAACAAACACTCCTCCCTTGTTGACACTTCTATCTATCATCATTTAGGGAGCGCAGGGGTTATCAAACCGATGTATTAGAAAACAATGGAGAATTTCATCAGATCAAGAAAATATTGCGTGCACTAGTAGAAATTGCAGCTTAGTTTAAGAGTCATTAAAACGTAAATCGGTTGATTGACTTGAACTTAATTTAGGTTCAAAATGGGAGCTTCGTAGAGTATTTTCAATTGCGAATTAATTGGTTCTTGTATGAACTTCTTAATATACTTTTATGTGTATGCATCAAAATATACATCATGGAAAATATTAATATTTGTTTTGCTCGCTGGGAGCAGGAATTTAAATATTACACACGCATAAGTTATTCATATGTATAATTTTTATTGCTAAGGGTCAAGCGGCCAAGTTGTGCGTTAGTTAAAATATGTTCTTTAATTTACGCTGGAAAATTTCAAACACATTTGAATATCTACTTCTGTTTTGTGTTGCCAGACAATACAATTCAAAAAATATTCCATCTAGCCTTATTAATTCTTATGCACTGCATAACTTCTAGATTATGTTCGACTGTCACGAAACATTCATTGTACACTTAATGTACACTTTGCATGTTGTCAATGAAGTTTTCACACCACATTATGGCAACTCCTTGACCAAAAGGAATTATTTCAGTTCTAGCCACTAATTAATTATCTTCGCTGAGTTGGTTTCTGATGATCCAACAACAAAACTGTAGCATTGTTAATTGTTCCATTGGCTGAGTTTTTATTTTAGGGAATTGGTCACAATAAAAACCAAACTTATACAAACACATAGGAAAAGTCTTAAAGTAGTCACATTCAAACCTCCCAATTGATCACACTTCTCTTCCTTTTTTAATCCCAGGTCTTATAAATAATGCATTTTAAGGAGAATCAATTTTAATTGATCAAAATAAAAAGTAATTTTATATTGCTCGAGCTGTTTAAAAGGCGAATGGAACCTGTAGAGTCGAGAAGCGTATGTACAAGTGTCTATCATTGTTGCTAATTATTCGATTAATTCAATTAACATGCGGAGAATATATGATTGAAAAATATTATTATTCGAACAAATTTTATGTAATATTTTTTTATGCACATCGAACTATTGTCTCGTCACCGTTTCCTTTGCTTTATGGAGCCAATTGTTTATGCCAAAATTGGCGGTCATTATAAACCAGTCGAGACCCAAATACTAATGAATCTTTTCTAAAACAGGCAAATAATATGTAGATTATTCCAATTGTATGTTTAGATTTTGTTTTTTTTTTTTTTAACAATTGCTACTCTATGCCAGTCACGTTGACCATTCCGGAATGCAGGAATTTAATATATGTATGTATAAATATATTCATATATGTTTGTATGTATGTGGAAACTCTAACCAAACCTTTAGCAAACGTAAACATTATTTTATTTATTTAGTTTGCAATGGACATGCCTTGACTATCAGGAATTTTATAGCACATGGCAAATGTTTATAAAACCGTGGAAATGGGCTCAAATAATAACGCGATTTTACTGACATATGTATCTTTAATTGCAAATTGTACAACTAACTTACCACATGTTATTTGTTGTTATTAATTTACCTTTTCTTGCAAACAATTTTTAATATTCAGCAGACAAAAATAAAAGACAGCGCAGGAACAGAAGCGGAATGCAAATGAAATGAAAACAAACACACAAAACTGACAGATGGTGCTCCCCAGAGAGCGCGAGAGACACACACGCAAGACGCGCTGAATGTCACAAAGGCAGCGAGAGAGAGAGAGAGAGAGAAAGAGAGATAGATAATTAAAGAGTTTGGATATGCGAGCGTTTTTTGGTAACCAAAACTCAGTCATATTCAGCGCGAGCGCCAGATCGTAGCAGAAGCGGTTCTCTCTCTCTCTCTGCGGCCAGTTTTGACAGTTGATGCTGGCACGTTGGAACAGCAAGATAAAAGTAAATCTGCGGAGAGACATCAAAACAAAGGAAACGCAAAAATAAACTGAAAAACAAATGTAATTAGATAATAATGGATACACAACAGCAAGAAAACCAAACGAATAACAAAATCAAATGTGACAGCGAAAAGTGTCGGAAAATTAAGAGATTCGTAATTATCGCTTTACTTATCACCATTGGCATTCTGAGCTGGCATTTCTACGGTGCGTATCCAGACACACACCCATTCCAACGATACCATACCAATACAATCTTCTATTTGTAGAATATTTCCATAGTAAGCCGTTGCCCAAAACGCCAGATGATGTGCTGACCTTGTCCCAAGCACTCTTTGCCGAAGAAACAGCGTCCAGTCCGTATCTCTACAATGTAAATCTCCAGGTCAAGACGAGATCTGGCGCACATGATGATCGGGCACCCCACCCGTAAGTATACGAATATGTGCCATATGGATATAATAACTATGTATTCATGTTAGTCTCTTTGAGCTGCATTACGATTTGCTGACTAGGGATGTTAACTCCACAACAGCTCTGTTGATGCGGCTCTTCAACAACTATGAACTGGATGTTGCGGTGCCGGATCAGATTACGGCCGAGCATGAGCAGGAGCAGCTGGATTTTCTGCGAGCCGTCATGAACACACGCGTCATGAAACTCTCTATGCGTTTTCTGGTGAAAAGAGGTAAGCTGCAAAAATGCTTGCCCATGGAGTTAAAAATCTAGTAGACTTATAGCTCACCGGTTTTATCCGTTTTATCAACATTCAGTAAATAAACAGCACTAGACATATTCGTCTCTATAAACAGTATATATTCTCGATAAACGGAAAGAGCCAAGGAGAGCCCCATCTAGGTCTTAACCTGAAATCATATTCGTTATACTTTTTGTTGATATATTAAATCTAATTTTATTGTTGTTGTATTGTATTAAAACAATATCTGTCTATCTGTTGTTAATATAAAATATGCTTTTTACATGTTTTCTACGTGCTTAAAGGCATTGTCAGCAGCGACTATGATGAACAGCTTAAGTTACTGCAGGAGCTTTGGTTCACGCCATACTCCAGAGGAAAAGGTATTGTGGGCAGCTCCAGCTTCGAGCACGTCTTCATGGCCGAACTTCGGGATCAAAAGGTACTAGGCATGCACAATTGGCTATACTTCGCCGAGCAGGAGCAGCAGGGTCACGTGAACTACAAAGGCTGGTTGAATCGCTTTGATACGGGAAGGGTGTGTACAATTGGCAATTTAACATTTTTTTTTTCTCTTTCATAGTTTTCCATAATTTAATTTATTTGTAGCACAATCAATTTGCGTTGGCTTTTCGCATGAGCTTCTTTGGAATAGAAAAGTCGTTCAATGGCTTTCTTGTGGGCACTTCGCCAGAGCTGGAAATGAGTCTATATACAGTATGCTTTTTAGCCACAGCAGAGAAGGAACCTTGCGAAATACAGCTTGGCACGGCCAAGTTGTCCATTGTGACGCATGTCTGGGACTGGAAGGGCAAGCGATTGATAGCTTCAACATATGTTGAGTTTCCATAAATGCAATTGAGTCTTGGGATATACATAGCACAAATTCTAGTATTCTATAGTCAAGTACACTTCATTAAGCGCAGGGAACTCTTATTATTAAGACTTTAATCATGATACACATACTTTAAAGTGCGTATCAATTTGTATTAATTGTGCATTTTGTATCAGCTATTATTTGTAATATTCCGCGTTAAAAACTTGCATTTTACAATGGTTTTTGTCTTAACGAACAAACTGCACGTTTTGTACTTATTACAATGTATTTTCTCAGTGTAAGATAGATAGATTCGATATATACTGTTCTTAACGTAAAATCCCGTTAATGTGTAAATATGAAGGGCTTTTTCGGACAGGTAATTGGCGACTGGTGACGCCTAAAGTGCGTGCCAACGTCAATTTCTGCGCCCGTCAGTCATAGGCTCCCTGCCAGCCAAACAGCTCAGTTTATTTGTTTTGACAGCTTTGTATGGTATTAAGACGTTCCCTGTTATATCTACCCAGTTGTTTATTAGTTTTAACGTTTATGTTTATTGATTGTGTGCGGAAATATCTGCTGACCTTTAATGCCACGCTTGAAATTGAAACAAAGTGCGTAATAGACGCGAAAAAGGCTATCAGAATCGAACAAAACTAATTTGCAGACTTAATACTAAATTGTTAAGAATGATTTATATCGCTAAACTTTGGCACGCACTTTTCATTATGAAGGAATGTAAATTTGATCCTATTTATTACTTATTCAATTCTTATCACTCATTACGTTATTTTGTACTATTTTATTTGGGATTTCCTAGTCCAGTCCTATCGTATGCAAATATTCAAGGATTTTTCTAAGCATTAGGGGTTCCGTTTTCTAAAAAATGAATAAAACCTTAAACAATATGCATATGTATATTCGCAGCGAAAACCTACTCGCCTTTTGAATTGATATATTTTGGTTGAATCCAACAAATAAAAAAGTAATTGATATAAAATTATTATCCTCAGATGCTTTTTAAATGCTTCGTTAAAAAATAAATAAATAATTAAATAATTTTAAAAATTACAAGCTGAATTCGAACCGAACCTGCTCGTACCCGGAATTCTATTAAATTGTTTACGATTAGCCAACGAACCAAAACTATAGGTTAACTAAAAACCATTTGAGGGAAATCTAGCCCCAAGGCATAATTAGCTTGTATAGATGCGAGGTAAACGTGGTTCCCGAACCGAAGCTAGAGGCAGGCTGTTGATGCTCATCGTAAGCCGAAACCCCAATACTTTTTTTTTGGGTTTGTAGCTCCGGAAAATAGTTTGTAATTTCCTTATATAACCATGAATTAAACAAATATATTTTGATCAAACGAACACTTTTTGGGTGGAGGGGGTGGAAGTTTACCAATTGAAAGCCATACCATTGATTAGTAAAAGTAATTTGTATTGCATTTAAAATGGTTGTAATTACAAAATGTTAATAGCATATGTTGGTTATATTTGTAAAAGCCAATCCGAAACATATGAGTAGAATAATATAATGGAAAAGGTTGGACTAGCAACTGGAAAACGTGTGCTTAAAACTAGAATGCACGATGGTCACGCTCAATCATCGACGTTTCGGTCAGCAATTTCACCTATGTACATATATTCCGCTCCGGCTGCCCCTCAATGATTATAGTCTCGTTGAGATTCTGTGCCTGTTGCACCGCCGCCGGTGCACTTGCTCGGCGCACTGTGACAATGGTGGTGTGTGCTGGCGATAGGCTGGCATCGGAGTCCGCTGCTTGCAGGACGAAGGTTTCACTCAAATCGGCGCAAGAGTCGCCGTCTTCGAGATTGGAGGCATCGCTGGAGCGCATCAGACTGGGACTGCTAATGCCGAACTCCAGCTGCAGCGGATCGATTGGCGTGCGATCGTTCGACTCGGGACTCCAGCTACTTCTTGCCGGTGGCTGGCGTGGCAGACTGTTGTGGCACAGCGGATCTGCCGCCGCCGATGGCTCCAGCTGTAGCTGCTGGCCCCACAGAGCCGCTGCTCGGGCGCGATTGTGTACGGCTCGCTGTTGGTAAGGGCACAGAACCGACGCCGGCAACTCCAACAGGGGCTGCTGATGATGTGGCACTTGTCGTTGGCGCCGTCGTCGTTGTCGGCGGTGGCGATCGCGCGTACTCCGCTGCGGCTCCGGCAGTTGACTGATACTGTGGCTGGTTGTTTGTGTTGGCTGCATCTGGCGAGGCATCATACTGATATCCGGACTGCGCATAGTCGCCGGCGCTGTAGTCGTAGCCGGCATTGCCATCGTAGCCATACTGCTGAGCATCGTATGGTTGCTGGGCATAGGCGCTGGCATCATAGCCACTGACATCATATTGCTGTTGATCGTAGGCACTGTAATCTGTGTTGTAGGCGGCAAGATTGGCGCTGCCGACATTGGAGACGCTGGCATCTTCAAGTGGTTGCTGTTGCAGTTGCTCTGGCTCGGCATTGCTGTACCGTCGATTGAGCTGCGCCTGCTGCTGCTCCGTTTGCTCGCGTTCCCGTTCCCGTTTTTCACGTTGCTCGCGCAGCTGTTGCAGCTCCCGATCTCGCTCCTCGCGTTCGCGCTGTCGCTCGCGTTGTTGCTCGACTTCTTGTTGTTGCTGTTGCTGTTGTTGCTGCTGCTGCTGTTGCTGCTGCTTTTCGCCCATGCCAATGTTGTCCTTGAGATTTTCGTCATCGTTATCGTTGAGTCCATAACTGCGGCTGCTGTCGGGCAGAAGGCTGGAGCTGCCATTGCTGTTGCTGCTTCTGCGCGCTGTTGCAGCTGTGCCAGCAACTGTGTTGCTGTTGGCAACAGTTGCTGCTGCTGCTGCTGCTGCTGTTGCTGATGCTGTCGCTGCTGTTGCATCGTAGCCGTAGGCACTGGCACTGGGTTTGATGTAGTCGTCGTCAGCGTTGTTGTTGTGTAGTTGTGGGGTGCTTTGTATGGGTTCAATTGTTGTGCCATATGTGGACGGCTCGTAGTCGTATGCGGCTGCAGTCACAGAAATTTAGATTAGTGGGTGGCAAGCCAATTGAATGGAAGAATCTATTCGAAATGCTGTGTAAGAATTCTCTAGCATATGAATGTTAACATTCTCTGGGAGCCAGGGTCTGCCCAGGCCAGGCAATTATGTTATATGACTTATGATAAGACTAAGTGTAAGTGTGTTGTATGCGTGTGCTAATGGGTAGCTCAATGAAGCTCGAAGAAGTTCAAGATTTACCTTTGCCTGCGCCTAAGCTAGTATAATCATGTGGTGTGGTATCTAATTTACTCATATGCTCTTCATTGCTTAACATGCGATTCGACAAATACTCTAGATTCGATTGTAAAGCAGATATTTCCTCTCTAAAGCGATAGATCGAGAGTTACGCAGAAAGTAGCATTGAAATGTAGTAGGGAAATAGAGAAAAAGAGATAACAGAGAGAAAGAGAGAGAGAGAGAGAGAGGGTTTGTTAGTCAAATACATATTCTTCATTGACAATTACCTGTATGGTCTCTATTGGGTGCATTTTTGGTGAACAAATGCGTTCATCGTTGGGTATTGGCTCATCGGAACTAAGCTCGTTAATGCTATTGTGAACTAATTGTGACTTATATTTCGACCAAATTTGCCTGAGACGCGCCATTAGCTGCTCATTGGTAGCGCGTAGTTGTAGCTTTTCTTGGCTGAGAAAATTGAGACAGGAATTTTACAAATTAACACAAAATCCTCTACTAAATAATAAAAGTGTGTTTCCAGAGGATAAAATCTTAAGTCCTAAATAAGATGAATTCAAAAAATTTTAATTTCTTAATAAATTCAATTTCAATCTCCTAATTTACTCGCTTCTAGTTAATAGTTAAAGACTGAATATTTATAAATGGTTAATCATTTTCAATAAAGCTTCGGTACAACTTGGACCAAAATGTAGAAACATCCTAGAATCTAGAAAAGTTCAATTAACATTATGTTAATAAATACAAAAATCTTTTATGTTTTCCCTTGTATTATTAAAAAAAGGGAATTATGGCATTCCGAATCTCACATCAAATCCAATTAAAATCACTTTTAAATAAATAATCTGTTATTTCGTAAAAATTCGATGAACGCATTTCGGGAAGCAGATTTTATAACTATTTATAAGATTTTTTAAAAATGAATTTGAACCCAATCTAATGGTAAACAAAATATTTGTATGCTTCCGTTTTCACTTATTTTTCACACTTTTGTGTGGATTTTCCGCAACACAGCCATAGTTTGCTATGATATCACATAAGGTAACTGCAGTAAATTGAGCTGCGGGGCTTTTACAGTTTGGGCTGAGTCAATCGGTCAGCCAAGACAAACAGTTTTATCTGTAAACATTAATATTTTTTTTTCGAGTAAATACTTTAGCATACAATTAGTTTTACATTTCTTAAGGTAAGTAAATTGGAATTTAGCTTTAAAAAAAATAGGAAAAACAAACAATCTTTCATAACCTTAAAGCAGTCCGAAATTTCTAATGACTGTGTATCTTCGGAGCACATTTGTGGAGTAATATAAGATAGGTTTGAGATCGAAATAAGTAAAAAAAAGTGTATAGCACATCTGTACATCTGTATACGAATATAAAAAACATTACGACTAACTTGGTGTCTTTAGCTATGAAAATTGAAAACTAATAGTGGGATATGTTTTTCAAAATGAGATTTAGAGGTTGGTTTTTTCATAGGTATATTAACATTATCAAAGTTTGGTGGCTTGCTCCTGTTCCAGATCCTTATCATCACCAGCGTCATCAAGGGCATCCTCAAATTGAGCAAGTTGCTCATCAATTTTCGCCAATTCTGGCGCACTGTCCTTCACAAAAGTCTCGTTTAGGGCTTGTGCAACTGCGTCCAGCTCTTTGACAAATGTTTCGTTCAGTGCATTGACTTTTTGCTTTGACTGTTTCGACGGTTTGGGCACCAGACGCACATTGACATCTACTTTGACTGGTGGGCGTGGCTTCTTGTGACAGCCATCGCGCTGCAACAGTTGCTCGAAATACAGCTGAGGCTTGATGCTGGCACTCAGTGCATTGCTGTTGGGCCCCTTGCATGTTGCTGCCGTTGCTGTTGTTGTTGCCGTTGCTGTTGTCTCAGCGTCCACCGTCAAATGGGATGTTTGACATGGGGGCTGACAGCGATTGGCACTGCTGATGGTTTGATTCAAAACCAGGTGCTGTTGCAGCCAGGGCAACAGCTCCGTTTTGCATGGATGGTAGCAGGTTGCTGTTGTTGTTGGCGTGGTTGTTGTCGCGGTTGTTGTCGCGGTTGTTGTTGTTGGTGCTGTGCGATATTGTTGTTGTGGGTGCGTGTCTAGGGTGAATTCATGCGAGTGACAATGTATGCTCTTGCTGTGCGTGGTTTGTGTACGCGCTGCTGTAGCTTGCTTCCCGCTGCGACTGCAACTGTTGCTGCTGTTGTTGTTGATATTGATGTTGCTATTGCAGTTGCTGCAACATGCAGCACTAAAATCGCCGTTATTGCTGCCGCTGCTGCAGCGCTTACGCACTATAGGCTTCGCATAAACGTGCTCATGCTCGTGCTTGTGGCGCATAAAACTGGGGCAAAAGCATTTCGGCTTGGAAGCCATTGCTGTTGTTGTTGTTGCTGTTGTTGCTGTTGATGATGTTGATGCTGCTGCTGTAGTGTCTGTTTTGCTGCTATTGCTATACACTCTGTGCCTCTTATAGCTTGTGAATTTTGGCAATGGCGGCATCTTGGCCAATTCCTCGGCCAAACGCTCATTGCTCTTGATTATGTTTCTGAGTATCTCATCACCGTAATCAACATCAGCAACACCAGCAGCAACATGCCCAGCCAGGGGCTTGCTGTTATTTAGAATTTCCATTTCAAGCGGCAAAGTGGACGCGCTTTCGCTTGCGTTTGCTGCTGCTGTTGCTGCTGTGGCTATTGTTCTTGCTGGTGCAGTTGTTGTTATAGGTGCGTTTATTGCTGTTGTTGATGGGACTGCTGCTGCTGTTGTTGTTGTTATTGTTGGCTTCGCATAATCGCACACTGATTCTTAATTTTACAATTGGCAGAGGCAGCACAAAAGAGGTTTGAAGAAGTACAGCGTGTTAATCCAGTGTCAAGCTTTAGTAGTTGTTGTTTGTGCTTTACGGATTAATGTATCTCAAAACAAAATAAAATTGCACTGCGTGCTTACAATATTTAATTGGCTGGCCATGAATTTCATATTGGGTTGTGTAAAATTTTCGTATATGCTGAATAATATGATTGTTAAAACGTTGATTTAAATGCATAGGCGAGACTACTATTGCTTGAATCTGAAAATCAAAAAGTCATAAACTATTTCCCGCGACAGTCGAGTTACTTGGATGGATCTCAAAGTATGTTTAGGTTTGCACAAAATATTGCAGTGTGCGCCAGAAAATTTGTTGAAATAGTTGGAAATACATATATAATAATTACTTGTGCTTATATGTTGTATCCTCTAATTTGCCGGTTAACGTTTTACACTCGTTCGTCAGTTTATCCATGAGTTGCTTCTGAGAGTTTATCATTTCTTCGAGCTCATTTACCGTTTCCGCTACAAAAAGTAGACAGACAGACAAATTGTTGTGAGTTATTAGTGGATCAGGTGCGAGAGTATACTAACTATATTATCATTATGGGATAGGCAACGCGCTACAACACAAACTCATGGATAGACTATTGACGTTTTATTTTTGATCAAATTAGATTAGTTTCAATGAAATTCGGTTTAGAGTCACGTAGTTACATAGTATTCACGCACACAATATGAAAATCAATAGCTCAACCAGAGTTTACAGAAAATGATAGATTAGAAAGAGTAAGTAGTGCTTGAGAAAAGTTGAAGAACTATCAAATAGTAATAGTTATTTGATAAAGTGATTATTTGTAATTAAATACAGCATTTAACTGTCACATACCATGCTTATCCTGCATCTCTGAAATGCGTTTATCCAAATCTTTTTTGGTGGGTCGTATTTCGTTCTTCAGCTCACCGTAGGCCAGCTGCAAATTTGATTTCAATATTTGTTTACCAAATGGTTAATACTAGAGCCCTGCGTCGGTGAATTCATTTGCTTGGATTCTCAATCGATTTAACCGAAAGGGGGCAGGATCGAGCTTTCGATTATCGAACTAATCAGTGTTCGAATAAACGACTCACCAACCCCGAAGGCATTCATGCAAAACGAGGTTCGATCTGCTCGAGTCAGCAACATGTTCGAGCTAACGGTAATAAATTCGTCGCTCGAACGGAATCGAGAGAGTCGGCCTCGATCAGGTCTGGTTTATTTTTCGATTCACTTTGCAACTCGAACAGCTCGAACCTCATTAGCTTAAGTCTTGACTCGCTCGATCGAAATAATTATTTAAGTATCAGAAACGCATTTCGTTTGACTCGATGCAGGGCTCCAGTCAATACTACTAAATACCTCCTTCTCCAGATTTGCAATGTCATCGTTAAGCCGTAAGACCTCTCGCTTCGAGTGCAGCAGATCCGCATCGCCACGATCAAGACGTTGGCGCAGCGAATTGATCTCCGCCGTAAGCCGAGACGCCTCCGTCTTGGTCTCGCGTGCCGCACGGTCCAGCTGCAGGCGCAGCGCGGTAATCTCCTGTTCTAGCGATTGCTTCTCCGCATTGGCCTGTGCCATGTCTGCCAGGAAAGTAGTACGATTGGCGCGCAATTCCATCTTCAGCTCGTCTATTTGTGAGTTTCGATTGGCCATATCGCGTTTGAGATCCGTTTCGTAGCGCTTTTGACGCTCCAGCTCCAGCTGCAGTTTAGCCACCTGCTCCCACTGGCTGCTCAGATCACCGCCCAGCTGATCCACTTGGCTGTTGTAGCGGCGCTCCGCACTCGCTCGCTCATCGGCCAAGCGTCGCGCCATCTCATGTTGCAGTTCCCGCACGCGCTCGTGCTGCCTGTCAAGCTCATCCCGAAGGTGGCGTACCTCCAGCTGCAGAAGTCAAGAAACTCGTGAAATTTATAGGTAAGGAGGCCGTGTTATATATTCTTCTTGATTCCACTAGTCGACACGCCCTTGTAAAACTATCCCGTAAAAGAGCGCCATGTCTAAAAACAAGAGTGCTCTAGTTGTCAATTTTTGACAAGAAGAACATTCTATACCCTTTACTACCCACTTAGTATCCGATCTTTTTTTAATATGACTTAAATATGTCACAGCCAAGTGTGTATATACCAAAGCGCACAACTCTATCTAAATAAGATGTTTTTAATTTGGGGGGAATGTGGGGAGGCACCAAAAAGGTGATATATTTTTAACTTTAACACACTGTATAAGAGTCTATATACCAAGTTTGGTGTATCTACTTAGCTTTTAAAATCTTCGAGGAATGCTTAAAAAATCATGTCTCAAAATCAATATCTATCGATGTTATGAGTTAGGATGAGGATGATACGAAGATAGACAGGTGGCTATCGATGCGGATTAAGTAAGTATACTTCCTTGCTGCTACATAGACTCTTAAAATGCCATAATACCCATTTAACTCATTTCCCACACAGGGTATAAAAATGGAGTTACTCTTACAAGTTCTCCAGCTTATTTCTTATAATAAGTTTTGATGCCACTTACCTCAGCCTGAGAGCGCTCCATTTGCACCAGGTCAGTTATATATCGCTTGGAGCTGGCGCTGTTGTGTTGCTGTGACTTGGCCTCATCCAGCAGGCGCTGTAACTGGCGCACAGATTCCTCCAGGGTGGTTTTATCCTGCTGCAGCAGCTCCAGCTGCTTGCGGTGCGTCTCACAGTTGCCGCTGCCCAAGGTGGCCACAGCACTGAGGGGATCCGTGTGGGCCAGCTTGCGCTTCAGCTCCTCGTTCTCGGTCCGGACGCGTTTCAGATCGATGTTGGCCTGCATCAGCTCCGCCTCCAGCTCGCTGATGCGTGCCTCGTAAACAATGTTGGGCGCACTGGCGTAGCGCGGAGATTGCACCTTCGGATTGCTCTTGCGTGGCGTGCCTGGCGTCTTGCGGCCGGCGGCAAAAAGCAGGTGCTCATCGCTATCCGAGGAGGGGGTGCTTGTAGTGGTGACCTGTGGGAGCTTGGAAGTGCCACTGCCCAGTGCCGCCAGCTCGCTGCGCGCATTCTCCGTCAGATGCTCATTCTCGTTGATCACATCCTTCACCTTACCCAGCAAATTTGTCAGCTCGTTGCGACAGTACTTGGACTCCTTCTCCAGCTGCTCAATGTAATCCTCCTGCTTCTCAATAAAATTGAAGATCTCGACTGGCGCTTGAACGCTGTCCGTGGGCAGAGTAGGCGGTGGCACATTGCTTGGATACAGAACTGGTGTCGTGGCTAGATTCTCCTTGGAAGCGGAGAGATAGACAGCGCCATAGCTCTTCTTGGGACGATAGGCACTGATGCGCGTCTTCTGGCTGGGCGACAAATACTTGGAAATGTCCGAGAAAACGGGTCGTTCAATGACCTGAATGAATGGAGCAAACAATATCTAGTGGGTAATATTAAATTTCATGTGCTAAACCCACCGACAAATTGTCCGAGAAATTATCGCCTGAGTCCTCATTGAAGTTGCGCAAATAGGCCGCCGCACTGCCGACCATTTTGGGCGTGGCCGCATAGGAGCTATCGGCCAGCATTACCTTCAGGCGGCCCACCGCCTCGTTATACGCATAGTTTGTATAATCCATCGATTTGCTCTTCTTGCTGATGCCCTTCGAGGACTTCATCGAGAAATTTCTAAAGGTAGCAAAACAGAGAAACGCGGCACTTTTTAGCGATTTACATCTATACTAAATCACATTTTTTTATTTCTAGTAAGTAAAAAATGTATCCCTATGAAAGCGCATAGTGCGCGAGTCGGCCGAGAACTGAGGCTGCCCATTTTCATTGGGGTGACAAATGCTGCACTTGTGCCACGGGCCTCGAACGGTTGCCGGGACGACGAGTTGGCCAAAATACAAATGTGCTCAGTCCTTTAACCCTGCCGGGTATACACACACACATGCATACACTTTTGACCATGTGTGCACGCGTCACGGTTCACTGGACACGCCTAGTTCTTTTTTTCCTGCCATTGCAGAGCGTATCAGCTTGGAAATTTTAGGAAATGAGTAACACATATGAATAAAAAAATCCATGACTTTAAAGATATATAAACTAATCCTAACTGATCCTTAAACTGTCCGTGTTTCGGTTCACTGTTCGGCTTAATGCTTTTAGGCTTAATGCTTTTGCCTGGTTTTTCAAATCCATGAACATAGGTTTTGGTGCATATAAGTATTTTCAAAACATTCTGACAGCATTTTCATTTGTAATTTATAATTCTCCGTATGCCGAAAAATATTGCAAGCCGTAACGCCTCAGTCTGAACTACAAGTTAATTATGTGTTGGGGCTGGGTCTCCTTCTACCAAACCGTGCTTAACTTTACTTATTTTACAGTTTGGAGGTCGGGTGTTTTCTCGCTTTACTGAAAATGAACTGGTTTAGTTTCTGGCTCGGCTCATAGTAAAAAAATAAATTGAAACTGGTTCGGTTCAAAGCCCTAATCCATTAAATAGGTTTAAATATCATGTTTTTATCTAAATTATAGGCTTGACTGCTAGGGTATAAAATCTTCGACCCCTTAAAGTTTTATGATCTCACTTTTTTCATGGGTAGGTATATAGAAGGGGGTTGCTAGATTTACTACGGGAAATTATTAATATATATACATATAGCATTAGATCCGTATAATCGTTTTAAATGTTTTGGATGGATTTATTTTCTATAACATTTTAGACTCCAGCCATAGAAGAACTATTCAAATAAGACGAGAATAAAGAACAGTCCTAGGTAGATGAGCTTTCGAAGTAACTTAGTAATACAGAGAACTGAACTGAGCGTTAGGTGAGCCTATGTTCCAAGCTTTAAGTCTCAATCTTTTATAGGCTTTGAGATAAACTCGTTAATATCAATGAGAACAGGAGTATAAATACAGGGGAAGAGGCTATTAAAACTAAGAAATATACACATAAACAAAAAATGGGACAAAACCTTTAGAAATAGAATTGCTAATTAATATTGTACAGAATACAGAATAGAGTACAAACAATATAGAATTGATTGCGTTTTCACTGATATTATTAATATACATATTATTATTTTTATATTTAACATACTTTCAAATGTCTTACTTCTTGGATTTGTGCTTAAATATATTTTATCAATTGATATTTGAATGCTATTTAAAATAAACTGATGAACACATAATCCAAAAGGGGATATTGCTGCTACTCCTACCTCGATCGCCTCTTAATTCGACCACCGGCGCTGCTCAAGCTGCAGATGCTCTCCCTATCGGAATAGCCGGAACCGCGGTTCTGCGACAGATTACGCAAGTTCTCGTTGGTAAACAAAGATGTAAAGTTATTCGGATTGCTGTTGCCGACACTCTGCGGTTGGGCTTCTGAATGAGCGCGAGTACTTTTCAAGTTGTACAAAGGAGCGCCGTACTTGAGGAAATTTTCAGTTTTCATTTTACACACAAATGGCGAGGCCAACCATGGGGGGCACAAAGAAATCCAATAACAACAAAAACTGGGTCTTGAGCGGGTCGGGGCAAGTCTTAAAACTTTGTTGCAATTTGTTCTGCAATTTGACTGGCATGCAATGGATAAGTGCAAGGGAGGAAGGCACTTGTGGTATGCACTTCCTTCCGCTTGGCGGTTATGCTTTAATTGTTTCTTTGAGCAGGCGTCAAGATGCGGTTAAGGAGCGGGCGCGACGGGCCACGACAGGAAGACAGGACGACAGGACGACAGGACGTTGAAACCCGTTGAAGTTAAACTGAAACGGCTGCATTCGTAAGTCAAAGCTTTTATAGACTCGGTATTGCAACACAATCCCCTGACTTAATATAGGTAGGCAGGCAACGACCCCCAAACTATGTTTATGTATATATAGTTTAGTGTGCTTTTAATGTGTTTGGTGCCATGGCGTTCCCAGTCAGAAATTCCACAGCATAATGTTAACATTTGTGCAAATGCAATGGCTTCCAGTGGCGGCACGCCCAAGGGGCCAAGGGACACCAATCCCAAGTGACCTTTGTGGCTGACGCCGCTGCTCGGCAATTCCGCGGTGCGTCTGTTTGATCGATAGCTGAAATGGAAATGGACGTTTGTCGCCACCAAAATGTATTGAAAGCACGCTCAGACATTTGTGCCAATATTTGGATGTATCATTGCTACCCTCAAGCCCTGCCCCGGTTGTTCAACTCGCCCGAAACGGGGCCAAAAACATTTCTAGCCCCACCAAAAAGAAGTAGTGTTTTGCTCGAGAGTACCCTACCAAGAGATACCCTAAGCCTAGCGCGGATCTGCAGTTAGAAGCTTTTGAAGCTTCTTTTATACTCACCCAAAAAAAATCGTTTGTCTAAATCGCTAAATTTTGCAGATTTAAAAAAAAAGGTCTTTTAATTAGAAAAAATTTGACTAAAATTTAAATACTTAGAAAAATTGTCAACTTTAAAGACAATTTTTTCTACTTTCAGAAAATATTTTTGCGTTTTAGAAAAAAAATTTTAATATTTTAAAAACTTTTGTATGTAATAGAAAACTTTTACTGCTTTAACGAACAAGGAATTGGTTTTATAAATATTGTTTAACTTTTTGTTATTTAAATAGGACGAATGAGGAGAGGAACAGGGCTTTAGGCCCGAATTCAAAGGGAATATTTAGAATAATAAGGCAAAAGTGGGCTGTTTTTTTGTTGCTGTGCCTTTTCTTCCCATAGCCTCACACTATGGGAACTGGGGGAACGCGGGGAAGGATTCAAAAAGTGATATATACGAGAGAGCACATACAAAATTTAGGGGTTCCAGCACAAACACACTTCGAGTTATCGATTTTAATACATCTTATAGTCACTGAGATGGACTCGTTCACACAGTCACACAGTCAGACAGACGGACACGGCGAGATCGAGTCAGTTCGTCGTCCTAATCAAGAATATATATACCCTGTGATCTGAGATGCCTCCTTCAGCCTGTAGCATGCATTTGCTCAAAGCCTATATACCCTGTTTACCCAATGCGTTCAATGTATACAAAAAAAAAGCACAAAAGACCAGTGCATATTTTTAGGGTTTCTGCGAGTGGTTTATAAATACTCGCGAGTTGCCATTGACAGTAGCACTTGCCGCTGTCTGTTCTTTATTGTATAATCAGAATATTGACAAGCTGGCCAAAAATCATTTGCTAAACGCTCACAAATTAGTGCCTTCAACTAGATTAACGTTAATGTTTATGTTATACTTAAAGGTATAAGTCCGGTAGAAGTCCCAACAAGGCCAAATGGTTAGACCGTATTCCTTTATTATTGTTATCATTAATTATAATATTATTTTTATTTATATATGATTATTCATTTATTTTATTATTATTATCATGTTTATATTTATATTTAATTTATTTTTAATTAATTAAGAAGCTAAATTTCGAAAGGCCAATTAAGTATGTTAACAGTATTTTTGAATATCAATTTTTCAGAATTTTTAATTGCTATTTTTTCAATTAGGCAATTAATATATTTAACTTTAATTATAATAAACAAGTGTTTAGCACAGAGCAAAATGCAAATTAACTCTAATTCATTTTTTTATAAAAGCAAAAACTGTAGATATTTGTCTTAAAATGAGATGAACCCAAGTGGTATTGAGTGTTAAAAAGTATTCCCTGTACTAATTTGTGGCGCGGTGAGCACAATAACCACAGGGGCACAGGCACATGTGGAAGCGCCCGGGCTGCCAACAATTGATCTAGAGATCGCAACAGTAACTTATGAGCAAATCACAGACACTTAATAGCTCAAATAACTCAGGCTGAGAGAGTGCCAGCTACCAGGACCAACTGTGGCCGAGCCGGAGTCCAGCTCCAGCTGAGTCGGGCCCAGCGCGCGCGCAATCAATCAATGCAATCTGTGTTATCATGAATAATTTCCTAGAGGGCATATTTGGGGCTGTAATTGTGAGTATAAGTCTGGAGCGGAGAAACCCTTTTGCTGTTGCCCGACTACGCTTGTGTTGGTTGCATCATTATCAGCTTCTTGCGATTTAATTACCACAAGACAACAATGCAAGGCCTAGAAAAAAAATATATATTAACCCTCTAAGATAAACGCATAATTCCGTATTCCCGTCCCGATGTGAATATCTGCAAGACAATTCATAAACATAAACAGTGACTAGCATATATACGTGTGCGAGTGTGTGTGTGTGTGTGTGTGTAAGTGTTATCGATCGTGGTCAATGTTGTTGGCAACAGCAAATGGCCCGGACTTAAGACCTGGTCAGATCCAGGCCCAGTCCAAGTCCAAGTGGAAGCCCTCGGGGCGCTCTCAGCAATTTTCATTGCTGCCGCTGCCGTTGCTGCTGCTGCTGCCGTTGTCGTGGCCATGGCTCTGGCTCGGCAGTGGCTGTGTCTGTGTCTGTGGCTTTGTATGTTGTGCTCTGATCGTTGTCGCGATCTGCTGCCTTGGCTGACTCTGGCTGTGAGTTGCTCTGATTCTGCAACCAAGCCAAGCCAACAATGTCGACGTCGTCGTTGCTGCAACTATTTACAACACTGCATTCCTGCGCCGCAGTCATTCAAGAAGCCAAAGCCGATGCCAGAGCCAGAGTCAGAGCCAGAGCCGTGGTCTGAACTTGTTTTATGCCACTTTAGCTTATATGTGTGTGTGTGCGGTTGAGCGCGCGCTCCTTCAACAAATGCTGCCCAAGCTGCCTGCCTTATAAATGCTGTAATAAGCCCACAACAACAACCTCAACAACAAAAATAACAACAACAGCATCGAATGTACGCTCGAAACATGTTTATGAAAAGAAAGAAATTCCATTGCTAACAAAAGCAAAGCGAGCGACTGATCGGTGGGAGAGGCGTACACTGCGCATGCTCGCATGTAATCCAACTCGCAGAGTACACACACACGCACACACAGACACATTTACATATTGATTTGTGCTCTCTTTTCCAACTGTTGCCATTCCATTGTATTTGTTGGCACTGAGCACTATAACAATTTTATACCTATCTTTTTACTCACACGTATATGATCAGCACTGTTATTCTCTTCTGCCCTCTCGGTCTCTGTCTCTCTCGCTCACTTTCGAATAACTGATTCTCTTTGAGTATGACAGCCTGTGGGGATATTTATTAATACCATGGTGAAATGACTAAGCTAACTTAGTGGCCAGCTCAAACGGGTGACCACTGCAAAAGTAGCACAGAATTTTCACCAGGCGATCCCAGTTAAGGGAGCAGCATCTATGGGAAATATCTGACATACTGAAAACATAAATAAAATAATAATATACATTTTAATGTTGACCAGACAAAAAAAAAACCAAATATGTAGTAAGATGTACCTAAATAAATTTCGATTAATTATTTCTCTATTTATTGGTATTAACTATAAATATAAAATTGTCTAATGAATTAAACTAGCAGTAGTAAAACAATAACTGAACCGGCGTTCTGTCGCGTGTTAGCTCAGACATCTTAGACTCATTTTGGTTGACTATAGTCAGAAAAGGTAGGAAATTTCAAATCGTATTCATTCATAAGTCATTAGGCACCAAGATGTCTACTTCTGCCCATTTTTGCTTGATAGTAGGTTTTATTCGAGAGGTTATCACCCTCGCAATTCAAGAGGTAAGAATATTGCTATACCATTAAAGTTCTATTAAAGTTCTGTTGCTAAAAGAATAGCTAAATGACGTACTCATCGAGGAGGGTAACATTGAAAACATTGTAGATCCAGGAGAGCTGTTAAATTTTAGCATCTCAACAATGCAACGTTATCATATTTAAAGATAGTTGGTAAACTATTTAAAATAATTCTTAAAGATTTAGAAGAACCAGCAAACATAGGATGGAATAACCTTCCGATCAGAAGAGTTATACAGTACATTTAGAGCCGGTGTCATTTGATTAACTTCTATAATTTAAATAAACATATGTACAATAAAATTGTCCTCTGCCTTATATATCTCGCAAGCAAATGAAATACATTGGATGTACAGACTAGACATGGAAAATTATTATGTAGCATAATTAATATTAAAACAAAAAAAAGAAACACCACGGCGAAGAATAAATTCCTTTATATACTGATTTTTAGATATAATAGCAGCTTTAAGGACTGAGTTTGGTGAAGTAATAAAAACTAAAATTAATTTCGTAAAAAAAAAAAATTATTTTTCGACAGATACTACCTATATAATAAAATTTTGTTTATATATAAAAAGCATTCATACATTGAAAAATATTCCACTGTTCGATCCCAAGACTCCTATATGATATAGTGGCACGATCTAGCTGGTTGTGCGACATATATATATGACTTCGTAGAGTCGAAAATGTCTCCTTCAATGCGTTACACAATTCACGACAACATTATACTACACTCTACGGGGTACGGTTTCCCATATCAACAATTCACTATGGTATGACTGATATAATATCTTTATGGTTATGGTTAGCGCAAATAATTTTTCCTTTTGCCTACTTTAAATAAATAAATTCAAAATAATTATAGAGAAGTACAATATTTATACTTTATTCACAACCTGCAAGAGATGTCCGTCTGCACAATTCAGCAAAATAATGTTTAACGGTTTAATGTGCTGGGCATGCCCATTAGGACTAGAGACAAGATAGTCACAGGCAAACTGTTGAAGACCTATCCCAAAGATGAAGCCAACACTTGCGGTCACACCCACCCACAAATTACAAAAATCGATTCATCATACAGTCACCGTTTGAAAGTCACTGCCTTGAGGTCACAGTTTTTGAATCCAAAACCAATACACAATAGAACTCTTTTCTTATATTATTATTATTATTACAATTATTTATAAGAATCCTTGTTTTAAATTAATGAATATACAAAAATCACATGCACATATATAAATATTTCTTCTTTTCAATAATTAAAGTGGAATTTTTACCAAACCATTTCAATGCCGCAAGTTTGTTGTCCAAGTCTTTTGTTTTTACTGGCAACGCCGGCCAATAAAGAGTGACGCAGTCGTCCAAGGTAAAATCTCTTTATCTCTTCTGTGCTCACTTACTCTCTCTGATCACATAAGCAAAGAGCAGCCACTCACACACATAGACACATACACACCATGTTCACCATGGTCGCCGCTGAAAGAGGGACGCGCTGGCCGCACGCTCAGTTGCCATTTACCTGTTGCCGTGCGCTGTAATTCGTCCAGTGTCGTTGCGGATGAAACTGAATCTTGAGGCGCCGCATTACGTTGCGTGCCTGGCCTGCGCGTGTGTGTGAGTGAGTGTCAAGTAGTGCGTCCGTGCAGTGGTGTGCTGGTGCTCAAAGCAAAGGCAGCAAAAAAAAGTTAACATAAAGCAAAGTAAAAGAGCCACAGTGAAAGATACGTGCACACACACACACACGAGCCCAACTTGCAATAAAAATAAAGTAGAGAAAAGTTGTGTGAAATTGAATAGCAAAAGGAAATTAAAACACATGCACATATATGTGTACACATATATAATAAGGAATTTAATGGAGCCGCAAAAACTGCCAAATAATGAAAAGATGTGCGATGCATAAATGAAAAGTAAACGAGTGACGTGTATAAAAAAGGTAGCAAACTGCTATTTATTAAATTGCAATTCAAATTCAGGTTTTCTCTCTTACTCTGTGTGTCTCTCACAATCTTCGCTCTCTTTGCCTCCATCTTTTATGTTTTTGTGTGGCTTCAGTAAACGCAAAAAATTCTTAAGCTCTTTTTTGTGTTTTTTTTTTTATGCTGTATGCCCGTAAAATTGTAAAGATATAATTGTAGCCACACGGATATCCTAGACTGGCCTTAACTTGCTAAATTATTACGCATCTGCCCCAAAGCCTTTGCAATGGGCTGCGACTGTGCAACAGTCTTAAACCAGTTGCAAAGTTGTCACATTAAAATCACACCTTCGAAGAAATATTTATTGTTGTTGTTGTTGTTTATTTTTTGTCTTTTCTGCTGCTGCTGTTGCGACTGTTGTGGTTTTCTATATATGCACCACTTTGCCCATAACTCGTTCGCGGTCTCACAGATACACACACACACGCACACACACAAGTACACTCTGGCTGCCTGGCAATTTCGCATGCAAATTTTACGTAAAGGAAGTCAGACAGCCTCAGCATTTGCTGCTGCAGCAACTGGTTGATCTGCATAGACGCCCATTATAAGTAACAGGCTGCATGCTGATTTTTTATATTTTTTTTTTTTGCTTTCATAACTGGTACACACACACACTCACTGTGATATGAGCGAAATATGTTATAAACATTAAGGCAGCTAGGCAATGCTAGTTAGTTTCTCATTACCGGCCATTTATTCAGCCAGACATAGGATATGATTATTGCCATTTAATTTCATTTTATAATACTCATAGGCTATGTGATCAGACGCAGCAAATGTACATAAATTACATCCCAATTGGTACAGCGACTTTCCCGTCTTTTCCCTTTCTAGCAAAATGCAAATGTTCGAGTATTTACTATTCTCTAGCTATATATGTATATGAATACACAGTAAAAAATGTTGTTTCGATTTTATTTCATTCTTGAATTTGAAATCTTTGAAAATCTGAAATTGCTTACATTTGATACAACAAGCAGTCAATTCCATGGTATACAGTTAATTATAATTAATTAGGTTTTACAAATTCGACTTAACAATTTCCAATATTGTTGATTTAAATAAAAATAGGTGTAAAATCGCCAATCGGATTTTTAACCCTATTGTATTATTCAAAAACTTCCAAGATTCCAAATTAATTGAAATTCTATTTTTATTTCAATATTTTTGAGAGTAAAGTTTATTACACAAAATTTAATATATAAAATAAACCAAGAATTAAAACAAATTTTAATTTTAATTTACTTATACCTTACACAAAATTTAATATATAAAATAAATCAAGAATTAAAACAAATTTTAATTTTAATTTACTTATCGCTCATATATTATCAATTAAATCAAATTATCAATTAATTTAAATTTCAAATAAATTAAAAACAGACCATTTCATAGCCTACTCCGCTTTAATATTTGAAAATATTTATTATTATTTTAACTTATTTAAAGTTTATTTTTAATTTACATTGTGTATTCAATACCTTCTCCATTTCAAAACCAAAGACAATATTTCAAATATCAGCACCAAAATGGTTTCAAGATGTTAACAATTTTTTTACTGTGCATTGGTGTGCATGTGTATTTGCGCACCCCATGCTGTTCCATATGGCACATGTGTGTGTACCAAATGTTTTCAATACTGTTAACGTTATTCGAATGCCTGCCGGGTATCCGCTGTGTTCAGCCAGCAACGCGGAAAACATATGAGCTTCAAAAGGTTAAATGTTAATAAATTGTTAATTTGATATCTGTCAATGATTTGACATAACATTATGACATTTGGGCAAAGCACTTTCCATGCCAAACGTCATTATATCAATATTTCCCCGTCATCTGCAGCAACAACAACAAGAAGCAAGTGCTTGCTTTCTGTTGCCATTTGGTCGCTTTCCAAATGTCCCTGGCTAAACAAAAGACTTAGGCGACAAACTTGATCGGCTCACAAAAATATCATAGGCCAAAGATTTGCCCGCCTGGCGGGACCAGCCATTTTATGCATTTACCAACAATTTAAAGTATTTAAAAAAAATGTCAACATATGCGCATTGCAATGACAAGCCAGCCAGCAGCCGGCCAGCCAGTCGCTACTTTGCCAACAGTCCGTTCCAGTCCAGTCAGCCATGGCCCGCAGCCTCAATCAAAGCAATGCCTCCCCCACCGTCCCCCGCTCGTACGGGCTATCAAAGCCAAAAAGCTTTCAAGCCAAAAGCAGCCGACAACATCGACAACGACGCCGCCACAGACATGGAAAAGCAGCGCCTCGATTTTATGAGATTTTCAACAATCTTTCAAATATTGCTGTTGGGTATGATAACTATGCCATCCAGTTTGCAAATTGATGTCTGCCAAATTAGTATAATGAGCTGACGTTTTATTTGTGTTTAAGTATTATTCTTAAAAACGCTTCAATCTTGTGGCATATTTTCTTCTTTGTATGCCTCTTGTTATTAAAGGGATTATTAATAAAAGTATTCAAAGAGTTACAGGTTGTGTTTTATATATTATACCGACAACAAAAATATTCGTATATATCTTATTATTTTAGGCCAAGCCATGACTTTACAGATTACTCTTATACATATATAATGAAAATGTTAGTATCATATTATATAATAATAATATTTTCCATTAAATTTACACATTCAGAAATCTTGAAATAGCCATCAATATGAAAAGAGATGTAGAGTGACATAATCGTAATTTTTATTGTTTGCTTTTGTTCAGTTTTCAATCTTTACTCACAGTATCAATCGAATAGAATGGACTTATTCCATTAAGCACATGTATATTCTGATAAGTTTTGAATATTTGGTTCCTTTTATGAAGGTTGCGAACCGGTTTTCAGCCGAACCGGTTTGAGCCCTGCATTTCTACTTAATTTGTTCGTTAAACCGAATCTTATACCAAACCAGTTGCCCAAAAAAACCAAGCCGAAACCCGAACCGAAATTTAATTTGTAAGAAAACTAGTTTTTTTTTTCAAATAAAAAACATTTGACATCCCTTAGCGGGAACCTTTTACATAATGCAAAAGTATTTTAAGTATAATATTTTCAGTAGAGCGGGCCATTATAAGTTGAAAATTGAATTGTTGATTGAGAAGTTGATTGCAGCCCTGAAACGAACGACTAAAAATTGTATCTTGGATTTGCAGCGCTGATTTTATTAGATAATGAATCCCTGTCAAGGAAATGTTGTATGGTTTTTAATTTCAGACTTAGTCTTTATAAGAATGAGCTTGTTTAGTTTTTTTTAGTATTAGTATCATTTGTATCAGAATAAAGTTTTTACATATTGTGCACGATTCGATAAAATAAACAAACAAAATTTTAACGGATATGCATTACGGAAAAAATTAGAAAAAAAATGATAGAGTAACACGCGCTTCGTTGTAAGCCATCTGTTGTATTGACTTTATTGTCTACAATTTTGTTGTATGACTTTTTTATATACATACAATATATGATTTCCAAGCGCTTGCAACGGCGCAATAAGCAATAGTAAAATGCAATGCGATGTGTTTTTTACTATTTTTCTATATTTTTTCTGTTGTTGCCAGCATTGGCAAGAGACGGAGTCTGAGATGGTCCGAGCCCGAGCCATCGACAAAGCCATAACCAAAGCCACAGCCAGAGCTAGAGCCAGAGCCCAGAGAGTTGCAGTGTAGTTTTGCAGCTCTCACGGCCACAAGCGACAGTTTTGTATTAGAAACGGCAACTTGTAGCTGCAGCTAGTTACGGGCTTGATGACTACTGAGATGTCGATGGGGGGAGAGCGGGCGACGAGCGGCTGGCGGGTAGCGAAGGTAGCTGGAATGTTGTCGTTGCTAGTTGGCAATGTTGCCAAGTGACTGACATAGTTGTTGTTGTAGTTGTTGCAGTTGTTGTTGCTTTTGTAACAGCAGGATTTGTTGTTGTTGCCGTGGCTTTTGTTCTTGTTCTGGGCAACTGCCGCCTGAACTTTAAGTTTTAATTTGTAGAACCACACAATTTATGTGTGGCATATTAGAAAAAAGAGTGTTACGAGAAAAGTCACCCTATGCGGGCGTTGTTGCATGCGGGCAGCCAGCAGGAGATACAAAGATACAGATAACCTGTTGCCGTTGCTGCCCCTCAGCATCTAAATCTCTGTTGCATGTGTATGTGTGTGAAGCAGAAATCAGACAAAACTGTTCTTTACATTTGTTTTTTATCCGTTTTTTACATTTTTTGAACCTGTTGAAAATGGATGAAAAGGGTATATTGGTTATGGCAAACGTATGCAACATGCAACGGAAAGCATTGCCCATAGGCAAAGAGGGTATCATTTATTTTCGGAATTTCCTTCCTTTTTCATCACAACGTTAAGTTTTACAGCTTAACTGGAGCTAGATAACCCAAACATAGTATTTAGGTTCTCGTATTGTACATATATACACACTAGCGGGTATTGCCCGGCTTTGCCCGTGGAACGTTTTGTGCTAAAGATTTTAGATATTACCTTTCCACTAAGTATGCGCCCGCGAAAAATGGAAATCTACTCATCTTAATTTTCTTTACTTCTCTTCTATTTAAAAATATGTTTTAAGTGCATCGAATAAAGAACCAAGTGTTGGAATCAACGGTTTTCGCCCATGTTTGTCTTGCGGTGAGAACCTTTCATTTATTAAACATTTGACCCGAATTTGCCATCTCAGAGCGTATCAAAGAAATTCTCATATATATATTTAAAAATAAATTGAATCCAAATCCAAAAATTTTCAAACGTTTGAATTTTCAAACGGTGGAATTTCCCAAAACCCCGTCTTAACGTGCACCGTCATCACATAAGGTAACTAGAGTGAAAATTTCAGCTTCCTAGCACTTAGTCAGTCAGTCAGTCAGCCAGTCAGTCAGCCAGTCAGTCAGCCAGTCAGTCAGCCAGTCAGTCAGTCAGTCAGGACAAACATTTTTTAAATAGTAGAGAGATTAAGAATATATTACTTTTTGGAAACTACTCCTATTAAAGAACAAGTTTTTTAAGATAAAGCCTTGCAATTTGGTATATAGCCACAATTGGGTACCATATTTAGGATCTTCAATTTTTATGAAGATCGGAATACAAATAACGAAGTTAATCAAGAATGCATTATCCAAACATAGTGTGTAGTAACGAGAAGAAGAAACACAGCCACTTGCGACGCATGCTTATGTGAGATTCTGGAGTATCTCCTGGTCGACTTACCTGTTTTTTTTGTGTGTGTCTTTACTCTTCACTTGCTCATCAGGCTGGCGGCTTCTGCTTCTTTCTTACTTTCTTTCGCTCTGTCGCGCTTTAATGAAATGTAATTTGAAAAATTGCGCGCGGCAAATTGTTGGCTTGTTGAAGTCAGCTCGTTGTCGTCATCGTTAGAATTTCAAATATTTTGTCTTAATTAAAATTTTAGTGTCAGGCGATCTCTCTCTTCCTCTCTTTCTGTCTGTATCATCTTATGTCTAACTGCTTCGCATGCTGTGCAAAAGTCGGGCAAATCTTTTAAATAAATTAGCGCTGTCGTTTCGTTCGTCAAGCATTTGTCGCGTTTGCATTTAGTCGACATTTTTATTGGATTAAGTTTGGCCTGGATTTATGCGCTGTCTTGGATTAGATGCGCCATCATTCACGTCCGCAGTTCTTGTGGTTGTTGTTTTTGCTGTTGCTGTCGCACAGCATGTAATTTGCGGTAAGTCTGCTTCTTGTTGTTTCTTTTGGGCTTGTTGTGATTTATTTTGTTTTGTTGGACATTGCATTTTGGGTTAAGTGGCGTTTATGCACAGTTGACTGTTGCGCCTGTCGCTTTGTTGGAAATTTAGGTCATTAAACAAAAGACTTAAGCAACGAACTGGTTCGTCTGCTTTGACTTTGCATTGGAATTTGAATTATTCCCCCAGCAAATAGCAGCAAACAAGACAGCAGCAAAGACACAGAGAGAGAACAAGAGAGAGAGAGAGAGAGAGAGAGAGAAAATCGTAACTATTTTCCATTGATTAATGACAGGTAAATATCATCCATTGGTCTCGCGATGCTGTGTGTAAGGGAGGAAACCATTGCGAGGCACAAATGCTGGCAAAGGGCATTCGCCCCATGGTCTTCATGGTTCATTATATAAGCATCGGTTTAATTAGTTGGGCTAAAGATTTTTTTTGCATGTTTTTAATGAATCTGCCGACACAAAGTGAAATTTAAATCGAGATAATGATAAAATGCTACAGAATCATTAAAGAAATATTCTCAATTGGTGGTCAAAAGTGGGGTATTACAAATCATAATGATACCGAGAGAAAGTTTCAAATTGTGTAGATTTCGAAAAAATTAAAATATTAAATAATAAACATTTAAAGCTAAAACTTGATCTCGAATAAACAGAAGTGTAATTGACACATAATCAATTTATCCGACACGGAATTATTAATTATTTAATTATTTAAGGTAATAATCATGTTAATAGGAATATTTTTGAATCTATAAATATTCATATAATATATATATATATAAATAGAGTATACATACTTTCTATCTTCTCTGCGACTCATTTAGACTTTCTCAGACCTTCTTCTAATGAGCTATTCACAGGCAGTCATCTTCAAATTGTTTTGGCCGTCTATAAATCAATCTAAATAAACAATTTCCATATTTTGTAAGTTTATTTCACACATTCCAAAATCCGCTTCGAGCCCAATTTCGCACTCTTTCTAGACGTTAACTGTGTCAAAGCCTCGACAACTTTCAATAATTTGTATGCCCATTTACATAAAGCCGCCACAGAGTTTGTTCAAACAAAATTATAAGCCAAGAAACTTATATTTATCATATCTTCCGCTCACAAATATACAAAATAAATAAAATACAAAATAAAAATATATATTTAGATTCATGTTAATATTTAAGCCAGCAGCTATTTTATTATACATAATATTTCATGAAATGCTATGAATATTAATTTTAAAATAAAATAAAAGCCCACTTGCTCTATATACGACCATGTTTCTAATAAAATTCTGTCTATAGATTTATAAATAATTTATAAACAAACACCTTACCACGATTTGTGGGTATCTAAAATTAGATTTTATATGCAATCATTTAACAAAATAAATATATTAAACTTTAATGACATAGAGGCACATTTATAATTAAAACAAATCGCATTCTCTGCTAGATATTATAGAAAAATTGCAAAAAGAGCGACGTTTCGACGCTCGACTCAGCAGCTGCACCCACTTTTTGTTTGGCTGCAAGAAATATTTCTTGTTTCTCAAAAACTTGTCAGCGCCACCCACTTTCTGTCCACTTCAGATGTGTGTGTGTGTTTGTATATGTGTGTGTGCGTGTTTGCATGTGTGTGTGTGTGTGTGTGTAGGAGTCCATTTGCCTGGCAATTATCGGGCGGGGCACTGACAGAGCCGCAAAAGCGGCAACTGCAATATTTTGCTAAATCAAAATTGACACTATGCAAAAAGCCAACCCACGGAGCGCAAATTGCAACACGGTAGCCACACACACACACACACAAGTACTCATACAGACACAAATACTCACACACACACTCTCGCACATACACTCGTCCACATAGTTGATTGTCGGGCCAGACTGGGGCCAGGCGCTCAGCGTGCCAAGCCATAGAGGCCAAAAGGTGCCCCTAGCCGGGCTCCATTGGCATGTGTGTTGTTGTTGTTGTTGTTGTTGTAATTGTTGTTTTGTGGCGCCAAGTAATTTCTGTGTTAGCGTTAGATTTCAGCCATGTGCAGACAACGAACACTACACACAAACAGCAAGCACAGCAGTTATTAGATTTTACACACCGCACAGTGGGTCAGATATATATCAAATATGATATCAATTATAAATTCAATAATTCAATATAGAAAGTATACAATGTGTTAAAAACCTATTAAATGTGTTTTAATTATAGGAAATTACTCAATCAATCTCTCTCAATCTCAATCTCTCAATTTTATATAATATATCTTATTATTTCAAATCCTAGTTAAAGTCGAAAACTTATTATATAATATTAGCAGCAATGGAATAAAATATTAAAAAATAATTCAATAGTCTTAGTTTCTTGAATTTATTATTATAACTCTATTCATTCGTCAAGATAAATTACACGAATTGGGGAAACAAGCCCGATTAGCACCGCACCACTGTGCGGTGGTGTCAGTATAAATGTGAATCACTCTGGTTGCTGCACCAGCGTGGCCACCACCGTTGTGACATTTGTTCATTAAGCATATTAAATAATTAGTACTTGTTGTTGTCATATTTTATGTGCTTGCTGCTCGTTGAGCCCGCCGAGAGGCTTGGCATCAAGGACCAGTTTTCAATGGCCAACTCAAGTGTTGGCCTTTTGGCTTCGGCAAAATATGTGGCTTAATTGAATAGCCAGCGACTAGCCCCGCTCATATGGTGATCCATACTTTAAAAAAAGACAACAAATGGGATGCCTGATTTATAAGTTCACCCAAATTTGTAACTAACGTGCAAGTAAAGCTTCTGATGCATTCCATTTAATTTTAAAAAATAAATGGACATCTTAACTTATTCTATTCTAGTACCCGATTTCTCTCATGTCACTTACACAACCTTCATCCGTTTCCTCATAACACACCAACACTGTGAATGGATCCAATATATGAAAGTACGCATTCTTATCGTTAATATACTAAATTAACTAAATCTCAATTGACTTGTAACTTTTTTATATTTATATATATTTTGTTCAAGAAAAATTAACGCAGATCTTTACTTAACTTTATTTATAACGCGAATATCTTTCATTAACCCAATTAATCCATTAATCCAACCAATGTAAATGGGCTCAGTTTATCAAAGAACATTAATTCATCGAAATTATTTAATTACTTAAATCTTAATTATCGCTTTCGTGACTGTTAATTAATAATACAAATAGTTTTAAGATTTAAAATGAAGTGCATATTTTTATAAATCTCAAATACCATATGTGATAAACGAACGAAGAAGGATTATAGAAAAATTAAATCGAATTTCATAAAATAATAATTATGCCCTACAAAAATAATTGATGCTATAAATAAGTTATTATCTTAATGGCATTTTTCCCTAGAATCAAAATGAAAAATTGTATAAGTAATGATAATTTAGTAAACTTAAAATAGGACTTTTCACAACCTGTTGCATTTTTTTTACTTTTTTATTTTCTGCGCATATCTACCAGAAATTCATTAAAGTACATTTGTAAAAGTACATTGTAAATTGACTTTTAAAAAAACATATTCAATATTCATCAACACCATCATCAAATTTATCATAATCATCATGGTAATCGCACAATGATAATTTAAAGATTACTTTGATTTACGCACTGTCAAAACTAACAAATAGTTTCGCTGTGAAAATCAAAGTAAAGAGTAAAAGTTGGACATGTGTAAGCGATAGCCCCTTAAAGGAATGAATAAATATGTATCTTGTGGCTGTAAGTGACAAATAACAAATGTAAATTTATGCAAATTGTATGTTGTGTGTTGGGGAATAGGCTATTTGACACTTTTGTCCTCACGCAACTGATTTGGTTATTAATTATCTCTTCTGCCAACTATTTTTGAATTATGGAAAGCAAATACCAAAAAGATCTCTCAGTATGGAGTCAAGTGGCTGTCGTGGCGGCGGCTGTGCCTCTGGGCCTTTTCCTTGGCTCTATTGAATACGTTTTTTCTTTTTCTCTGCCTTTTTTTTTGTTTTTGCTTTGAACCAGTTGAGCGACATTCCATTTGAGGCGCGACAGGCGGCGTCCATTTGGGGGAGATGCTAAGATTAATCAGCTGCCATAAGCCAAATGACAAGACATATTTTTGTATATTTTTTATATATATTTTTTTTTTTGGACTTGTCTCGATTGCTCAGTTCTTTTGGCCTTTCAAATGCGGCCTAGTGTTATTATTGTTATAATGTTTATTTATGGCAAAGCAAGAAAAAAAATTAATTTCAAATTTGATTACAATAAAAATAAAGCCACACACACACCTCAGATCCGAGATCGAGCCACTTGTAAGCAGCATTTGATTTACGCGTCCCAAAGTGTGCCCAAAACAGCCTCTCTAGGAAGGCAAATGAAAGACCCATCGCAGTCCCCGCAGCTCTCCAGGTGTGTGCGTGTGTGTGTGTGTGTGTGTGCCGTGACGGCCCAACCCAAAATGCCAACCAATACTTAAGCAGTTTTAACCATAGTCAACAGCAAGAATAAATTCAAATAAATTTATTGTTTTCTATTTAGATATTTGTCTGTATGTAAGCAAATTATGCAAAGCTGCCTCTAAACAAATATTATAGAGACAAGCGGGACTAAAGTGGCGCATGGTTATGTTTATGGCTGTTCCCTGGTTCTATTTGCTGAATTGGGTTACTTTCAACATCATTTTTTAAGGTCTTAGGTTACACCAACAACAATACAAACAATGCCAGCAGCAGCCGACTTTCAGGCCAGGCCCAGCTGCAGATGGCCACGGTCTAAGATTAGAACAGCCCACGCCTGGCCTGTGATTAGGTTTCCAATGTTCCGAGAGACACTTCAAATTGTTTTTTTGCCAAAAAAAAAATAAAAACAAAATAAATAAATAATAAAAGTAGTTGTATATTTAAGCTGTGGCTAATGAATGGAGCACGAGCCGAGACTGAGGCTCCCATATTTCGTTGACGGCAAGGGAAATATGACAGCATACGTGTGTCTGAAAAGTCAACCAACATAAAAACCTAAATTGAAAAGGGAAAAAACAAGAAGATTAAATACCCCTGGGTAAAAGACCCATTTTCCGTGCAAGCACTTATTTTTCGATGCTCATAAGAATTTGCTCATATTTCAGGAACGTGGTAAGACTCGTACATGACAAGTTTGGTCAAGATGTCTTTCAGTTGTTTATAAAACAAATTAAGTTTCGATCAATATTTTCTACACATTTATACGATAAAGTAGTTCAATCAAGACAGTTTGCCTGGAAACAGACAGATAATATAAACACTTAATGGGATCGGAGATTTCTTTTAAGCATATTTATGCGTTGCACATTTCAAGGCCAAATTATAATACCTTCCATAATAGTACAAAAAAAAACTCAACTGTACAATTGATAAAAGGCGTGGGCGTACTGCTTATTAACTTTTAAAATATTAACAATTTCAGCCAAATAAATATAAGACTGGCGCCGCATTTAAATAGCTAATCATGTTAGATACATCTCTGCTCTCTGACGTGGGCTCAACAAAGATTTTAGCTAGCAACATAAATTGGCTAGAATTTAGCTTTGAATTATCTCAAAGGTCAAATGCGATCCACTCAAAGGTGTGGCACGCAGAGAGAAAAAATATATTTGCAAATAGGTGGGCACATACGCATACAAAATATGAGTCGGAGGAAACCTACTTTGAACTGCCCACACAGCCGGTGCACAGTCCATTCCCATGGCCAATGAAGCCAACGACTGGCGAGGCTCAGGCTAAATATAATTTATATATACTTCTATTATTATTTATTTTACTTGTCTTTTATGACTATCAATGACCCAAATTCCATTGCTCGATTGCGCATCCACGCAATTACTCCGCGTATAAAATGAACATTGCCAATTTTACAGCATTTAAATTCATATAGACATATATGACAATAGTTTTAGAAGCTTTCGGGATTACTGAATGGGTTTTTAGCTCTACAACTTTAAAAATATATATTATGTAGAATTGTGCACAGAGTCAATCAGTCAGTGAGTATGTCAGTACTTCATTCAATCAATAAGTCATTCAATCAGTACGTCAGTCAGTAAGTTAATCATTCAGTCAGTCAGCCAGACAATCAGTTAGGCAGACAGTAAGCAGTAAAGTCAGTCAGTCAGTTAGGCAGTCAGTCAGTTAGTCAGTTAGTCAGTAAGTCAGTCAATCCTTCAGTGCGTCACGCAGTCAGTTAGGTTCGGTTCAAGTTTTGTTTTGGATACTAGTTTCAACTCTGGTTTAAAGTACAAATCAAACTGTCACTCCGGGGTCAAATCGGTTCGGTACAAAACCGAATTACATCCTTGGTCTTCAAGATGCATTCATAAAATACTCCGAATTTTGTTTATTTTTCTAATGCAGTTTAAATAACAATATATTCATTTTAATTAAGAACGTGTTATTTATCTTCGCCTTTGCAGACTTCTGGCCTTAAAGCGATAGTCGCTGTATAAAAGACAATAAATAATACAAAACGTACCGAAAACAAAAATATGTCGCACAAGACGAGCACACGACGTGCCACAGATCTGGAGTGTCCGCTGGCTTCGCTTGGACGGACCAGCAATGGGGTGCGGGATCAGCTGGCGGCAGCCCACTACCATCATCCGCATCCGTTGAGCTCCAGTCCGTTAGACCCGCAAGCCTATAAGATGTCGCGCAAATCACCAAATCTGGGCCACAATGTTAACGACACTGTCGCCAACGGGGAGCTATATCCACTGGCCTCGCGCAGCTCCACGCCACACAGCGACCAGCAGACGCCATCGGCAGCGGCCACTACGGCCGCTGTGCTGCACATGGTGCAGCAGAAGGCGGCCACATTCGAGCTGCGTGGCCGGCACACGCGGCATGATCAGTCCAGCTATGGCGCACACTCTACCGCGTCTGTGGGCCGCCATGCGCAAACGAAGAAATCCCCGGAACTACAGGCGATGCCTGCACCGGCAACCAGAACCAATGCTCCTGTGCCGCAGCCGCGCAACTTTCTCACACTGGACTGGCTGCATGGCAATAGCGCGGACACCGAAGACTCCAGCGACAATAACGCTGGAGGTGCTGCCAACGGCGGTAGAAGACGCGGACAAGCCCAAGGCGGACGCTGCAGTGTGCCCACGGTGCTGGGCAATGGCAACAGTGCCCAGTATCTGCTGGACAAGAAGATGGAGTCTCTGTATCTGGGCAATGCGCTGCGTGCCCTGCCACTGGGCGCCGAGGCCAGCCAGTACCAAAACGAGCGTTACTACCTGGAGGACTACAGCAGCGGGAGCGGCAACGAGCGATTGCCAGGTGAGTACACATGGAGAAGTATTAATTCCTACAGCTAAATCCTATGGCTTGAAGCGCGTATACTTATGGCAAATTCAGTTTCTTGACAGTTATTGGAAATAAGGGGGAAAACAAAATGAATATACTTTTCAGTTTATCTCATGAAAAAAATAAACACCATGAGCTCCGATGAATGGTAAATTATGTAAAATATTATTAGTATCGAACTTAATATGTATACATGAAAGGGTATTTAAGAATATACCATACATTTTCTAATTGATCTGTTTATATTCAGTTTAATTTCATAACCCCGTTTTTATTTAGGTTATAGAACTTAGGTTTTAAAAAACGTTAAATTATTATTCTTACATAAATTAATAATAATAAATTTGAATTGTAACAAAACGTAAAGTTAGCCGCTTGAACATAAAACCCTGAATGTGAGCAACTTTCTGGGATGCCCAACTGATTCTTTTAACCAAGCAACTTTTAGCTACAAAATTTTATCGTTTTCATGATATAGCCTCAAATATAGGAACAACATTTTTATCAACATTAGTTCACATAGGCTATTATATCATATATCATATAGGAAGTCTTGTCATATTATTGCAAGGGTATTTAATATTCAGCACCTCGATGGTAATGTTACCGATACTTATCCTTTAAATAACAGTTACAAAAAGTATTTAAAAAAATTAGAACTCTGTCTTTGCTTCGCTACAAGCGAAACCAAAAATTCTCACAAAGTTCTAATTCTCTTAATTTATCTTTGTAGAACGTCTGCATCATCCGCGTAACTCCAGTCCCAGTGAGACGAGTGGCTCGGATCGTTATTTGCTAAATCGCAGCACCAACTCGCCCGCCAATGCCTTCCAGCTGGACCATCACCACACCAAAGTCCAAAGTCTCTCCGATGGCCTGTGCAATATGGGTCGTTTTTCACCTAGCCTGGACCAAGGATATGCCACGCTGGTGTCGCCTTCGCCCACTGGCCATCATCCGAGCACCACGGGTGGCATTGTTGTGTGCAACAATCCCAAAAATAGCAGCCCTAGCGTGGTCAGCGGTGGTGTCATTACCAGCAGTACTCCCGCTACAACTCCGCGGCGTGGATTGACCAGCAGCAGCAGCGGCACGGTCAATGGCACAGCCATTGGGCCGCCACCCTGGAACCGTAAAGGTCCCTATCGCTGCGGACCCTACTTTGACCGCCTGCCCGATGAGGCCGTTGTGCGCATTTTCAGCTGGCTAGATAGCTGCGAGCTGTGCAATGTGGCGCGCGTCTGTCGACGATTCGAGCAGCTCGCCTGGCGTCCGTTACTCTGGAAGTGCATCACGTTGCGCGGAGAGCATCTGAATGGTGACAAGACGCTGAAGATGATCTTCCGCCAGCTGTGCGGACAGAGCTGCAATGGCGCCTGCCCGGAGGTGGAACGCGTTATGCTCGCCGATGGCTGTCGCATTTCAGACAAAGGTCTGCAGTTGCTCACGCGTCGCTGTCCCGAACTGACGCATCTGCAGCTGCAGACTTGCGAGGGCGTGTCCAATCAGGCGCTGGTCGAGGCGCTCACCAAGTGTACCAATCTACAGCATCTAGATGTGACGGGTGAGTTGGAGCTTATAAAATATTATTTTAATTTTGAATGCGACTGATATTGTTACCCCAACGCAAACAGGCTGTAGTCAGGTGAGCAGCATAAGTCCGAATCCCCACATGGAGCCGCCGCGTCGTCTACTGCTGCAATATCTGGACCTGACCGATTGCATGGCCATCGATGACATGGGCCTTAAAATTGTGGTCAAAAATTGTCCACAGCTGGTGTATTTGTATCTGCGCCGCTGCATTCAAATTACAGGTAACACATTGGTAGCCAGAATCATAATTGAATGATATAACAGTTCAATAATTCCATGATGTAGATGCGGGTCTGAAGTTTGTGCCCAGCTTTTGTGTCTCGCTGAAGGAGCTGAGCGTCTCGGACTGCGTCAACATTACGGACTTTGGTCTGTATGAGCTAGCCAAGCTGGGCGCCGCCTTGCGCTATCTATCTGTGGCCAAATGCGAGAGAGTCTCTGATGCGGGCCTGAAGGTCATTGCACGCCGGTGCTACAAGCTGCGCTATTTGAATGCGCGCGGCTGCGAGGCAGTCAGCGATGATTCCATCACAGTGCTGGCTCGCTCCTGCCCCCGCCTGCGCGCCCTTGACATTGGCAAGTGCGATGTGAGCGATGCGGGTCTGCGCGCGCTCGCCGAGAGTTGCCCGAACCTAAAAAAGCTCAGCCTACGCAATTGTGATATGATTACGGACCGTGGCGTACAATGCATAGCCTATTACTGTCGCGGACTGCAGCAGCTTAACATACAGGACTGCCAGATATCCATCGAGGGCTATCGGGCGGTCAAGAAGTACTGCAAGCGCTGCATCATTGAGCATACCAATCCAGGTTTCTGTTGAGGGATCCCAAGCTGAAGCTGGTACACGTTAAAGCAAAGAGGCAGGCCATATGAGCAAAGATGTTCTAAACAAAATAAATACATGCACACACACACACACACAAAATGTTAATTGTTAGTTGTAGTTGTTATTTTGTAAATACATACTTAAGCAGCTTCTGTATATATGGCTGGAGAGGATTAGCATAGGCCATAGAGCATTTTGCTAGCATTTAAGTAGCGCGGCTTTTAGACTAATTCTTGCATAATAAATTATTTCATATAACCCCCTAAGTCTCCAGATAACTATACATGTTGGGCATCATTTCTGGCACATGCTTCAGTATAAAACGAGGACGCACGTCTATTATGTTGCGGTAATTCTTGTTCGTCGTGGCAATAGTGGCCTTTACATCAGAACCGAGTTTAGCGGGCTCCAGCCAATTCATGCGCATCTTGACGGGTTTGATTCGGAACTTGGTGGAATGGGATTGTTTCACATATTTGATTATTGACTGCAAATCATGGATATCACTAATGACGTGCAGCGTCTTTTTATTGATCCGATCCAGTCCACGCTCAAGTCTCTCCAACCGTTGCATGTCCTTTCCGTGCCAATACCGCAGCCAATCGACATGGAGACCTGCGGAGGTACCAAAGTATTTGGGCAGCTTTACCAACAACTCCATCAGCCTGATGCGATTTAATAGCGAACTGGAAGGCAGTTGCATCTTCATTCTGCGTAGTCTTTCCTTTTTTTTGTGACTCAGCTTTAGTTTTTTTGAGTGCAACAATTTGTCCAGTTGATAGCGCAAATGATCCATCATTTCAATTTTCTCAGCATATTTTTGACCCTCCTGAGCAATGTTGAACTTTATATCCGTGTGTTTGATCAATAACCGATGGATCTGGTGGCTTAAGTGCGTCGCTTTCACCTGCCCATTATGTTGTTGATGGACAAGCTTCTTGTAGTTTTTCTGCCATTGACCCGTTATTGGTTTAACCATTTTTTTTTTAGTTTTGATTTCTACTATTTCTATTTCAATTTCATTGCAAATGTTGATCAAAAAGATTTTAAATTTCGAATAACTAATATCGGGTCTTTTTTATCGACGGTCCACCACAGCTCATGGACGGTCACACTAAACTTCACTGGCTAACAAGCTGTACAAAGCCAGTGCTACCCATCACAAGGCATACAGCTGATTTAGCTTGCTATGCGTGCCGAGTCTGGTTAGAGGTTAGGTACGTTGTATAATGACAAGCACGTAGATTTGTTTAACTTGCTTATTAGTGTAGAGCTAACTTCACTTGCGAGATTTGACGACAAACTATTGTAACCGTAGGAGACATGGCAAAATACATTGCTCAAATTATAGTGCTGGGTGGTCAGGCAATAGGACGCGCTTTTGCCAAGGCGTTGAAGCAAGAAATAGCCGCATCGCAGGAGGCTGCCAAACGTGCCGGTGGCGGTAGGCAAGGGGATCAGAGTGCCGAGTCGAACCTTCGTACGGGTATGTGAAAGTGTTTTTAAAACAGCCGCTTCCAGCAATAACATTGTTGTATTCAGGTATGACCCTGGAGGAGGCCAAGCAAATTTTAAACGTTGAGGACCTTAAGAGCGTGGACTGCATTGTCAAAAACTATGAGCATCTATTTAACGTCAATGATCGTGCAAAAGGCGGCTCATTTTATCTGCAATCCAAAGTCTTCCGCGCCAAGGAGCGTCTGGATCACGAGATAAAAGCACAGGAGCAGCATCAAAAACCAAAACACGAGCATCAATCGGAAGAAGCGCCCCAAAGCAGAGCAAGGCAGAGTAGTTAAGAAACTTGTGTGCTTTCTACCTCCGTATAAAATTAGCTTTAGTTTTAAATTGATTAAACTAGATTCTAAGTAGCAATGCAACGTTTTTTTTGTTGCGTGTAAATAGATACAAACAACCATTTAGCACATTATAACGAGGTTTTTAATATTGCTAAGAATCAGCTGTTTGGTGTATGACAGCCCTGTATGTTGCTACGCAAGGTTGACTGCGCCGAACAGCTGGTGCTTGGCAGCACTGGAAGGCACACAAAGACAAGATCGAAACTAAATGCTACGTTGTTATTAAATATACGTATTTATTTTTTGTGCGTACAATTAGACGTGTCAATTTTTTGTTTTATTTGCGCAACCCAAGTAGCACTAAGGACGCAAAACAGCTGGCACATGCGCGAAAATACACAGAAATTCCAGTACAAAGCAAACGCTGAAATCAACCACCAGCAAAGTCAACGACAACGGCTTTCCATCAGTGGAGGTAACATTCATAGCATCGTTCTTGGAGCTCTGACTTTTATGTACGAGAGAGCACACACCAGACAACGGTATTTGAGAAAAGAAAATTCCGCTGCTCAGTCAGTTTTCAGAGGACCTTCGACACAGGCAGCCGAAAATTCCAGTTTCGCTCGTTTAACCAGGCAGACAACAGACAAAAATCAGAAAAAAGAAACTTTCTGAAGTGGTAATTTACTACGTTACGTTATAAAATTATAAAGTCGGAGGCGTGAACAAATATCGATTTAGCGCGACATTTTTAAAGTGCCAATAATAATTTTGACAGTTAACCGCAGTGTACTTACATAGTTTAATTTATTTGCCTATTTATTGATTTTCCTCGCCTCTGGCAATAGTTTAACTTGCCCTGCAGTTAATTTTTATTGTTTTTCATTTTACAGCGTGCTAACATAATTAACTGTAAAAAAGCAAACAAATTTACATAACTTACCAGTTAAAAGTGAAACTACATTGATGCAAAAGAAAAACCTATTACAAAATTTCTGCCAAGTGTAATAAAAGTCAAGCGAAAGAAGGGGAAACAGCAGCAACGTTTGCAGAATACGACAAGAGAGTCAATTGAAGCAAGCGAGAGGCAGCGAGAGAGGGAGAGAGACAGAATAGAGAGCGACCGAAAGTAACAACACCCCACAAACAAGCGCCCGCTTTGTGCACGTTTGCACGTTTCTGCCTTCTGAGTTTTTGTCGTCGCTTCGACTTCGGCATCGGCTTCGTGTGGCAATCGTTTTGTGTGTACACGACGACACCAGGCTAATCCTTTAGAGCGAAAGCAGGCAAAAAGCACACAAAATACAACACAACAAAGAAGCGAAACATGTTTTCGGGTCTAACAAATCAATTCACCTCGCTGGTGGGCGCAGTCAAGGGCGGCGCAGGCGATGAGGATGTACCAGTGCCTACAGCCGATGCTGCCGGTGGCGCTGCAACCACATCTTCAGCAGAGGTGGTGGCCACATCAGCGGAACAGGAAGCTGCAGCCGCTGCCAGCGGCGAGCAGGGACTCGAAGGCGAGGAGGGTGCCAAGAGGTAAGTTAACTAAGTTTCTATCGCCTAGATTGACGAATTTATCTCTCGCATTCTTTTTATAACCGATAAGCGTTCTACGTGTGTGCTTATCTCTTGCCAGCTGCCATTCAATGCCAATGCATGTTATCTGCCAGCACCACATATATACATGCTGTGCTAACATCTATAACCCATTGGCATTTTACCTTTCGAAGCGCTTCGTACTTTGAGCCACTGCAAAGACCCACGGGGGTCTTTTAGGGGCCAATTTTATGGCGTGCCAATTTGACCTTGCAATTTGTACCTTTTAGCATTCTGCCAACCTTTTTTACTCCCCGCACCCCTCCGTTTGCTTATAGCTTATAAGCTTCACCATATTTGGATTTGGTGTCTGGAATTGACTCTCGTTTCGTGACTAAACACATAATTGCTTTAACTGCAAGCAAATAGCTGATCAATTTGTAATATACATATTGCATTTGGTGCAAAAGTTGATTTTTTGTTTTTTCCCACAAATTTGATGGCTCTTAACGGCAAATGGTTCTGCAGAATAATTCTGGCATTTTGAGCAATATATTATTCATATGGAGCCCATTTAAAAAGATCTAAGAAATAAACAAATTATATCTAGAAAAAGGATAAATATTTTTTCATAATCTCTTACGGCCTTCATTGATTTGCACGGCAATTCTATTTTGCAAAAACCTCAAAACTTGCATCGGCATTTTCAATGCAATCAAAACATCCAGTTTTGAAGCAAAATTTGGTCTGTTCATAAACTTTTGCATGCAAATTACGCTTGCAAATAAATTATTCCAATTGTATAAACGAATACAATAATTAAAATTCAACTTTATTTCAACTTGTAAATATATTTGTAGATTTGTAAAATTGAACATAAATGGTTTTTTTAAAGGCCTTATTCAAAGATTTATTCACTTTTAATAAAATAAAAAAAACGCAATAAATTGCTTTTCAGAAAGCTTAAAATCAAAACCACATCTTTAACGCGAATGTTCAAGAACGTAATTAAACGTAATTTCTACTAATTCAAAAAAAAAAATAATAATTTATAGATTTTTTATATTTAAGAAAAATCTCCTAAATCTTGTGTTTATTTGTATTTCAAAAGATTCATTCTTCCTATATGAATCTTTAGACTTATACTAAAGATTCATATAAGATTCACATAAGCAAGTCTAATTTGCATGAAGTCCGCTCTTATACTCTGCTTTTCATCTTGCTATTTTCATATATATATATATTTTTAATATTATTGAGTATTAATTGATTGTATTGATATAGTCAAAAATATATTAACCGAAATCCACTTACCATTTGATTAAGCATGAATTGATAAACCTTCTCGAACTATATATGAATTATATATATTATTGCGGCCTAAAAACATTGAAAATGGCAAAATGTTAACAAATATGTGTTAGAGAATATGACAGTTAGAGACTTTAAATTGAAACTTAAGTCCTCCTAGAGCATTATTACTTTTATTTTCAATTATGATTATCTCTACCTGTATTTTTTTACACCCCAGATCTAATAGAAGCTAGAGACACAAATTTTAGTATCTAGGGTTTCGTGTAGAATACTTTACCGACCCAGGATTTTTCACTATTCTGATGAACTCCCTCGTTTCAGCACAAAATAAAAAAATGACATATTTACTAAAATATAACCATTTTCAATATTTACGTAAATTTGAATGCGAATTTTAAGCACTGTACATTTCATTGAGATCGGAAAATAAACACAAGTTATTTTAGAACTCATTGCACTTAGAGTTGTGCTGAGGGAGAGGAACACACTCTCTCCATAAAGTGTTTGTCTTGCGGCTTCCATGCTTTTTTTATTGGGTAGATATATATGTATAGAAGAGAGTTCGAATGCTTGGAGCGGCAAGTTTAGGGGTACACCCGACTGAAGCACTCTTACTTGCTTTTAATTTATTTTATATGAAAAGACAACTTAAGCCCAACTCACGGCATCTTAATGCTACAAGTTGCTACCTAATCCTACACACAATCGACAGTCAACCCATTGGAGGTTTTTGAACAACGCAATGAATTTCCCGACCCCCCTGCCGACAATACTCACCATCGAATTCCATTTTTCACCTAATATAGCACATTAATATTTAATTGTGTTTGTGTGTGTAGTCAATTCTGTGCACGTTCTGCCAGCAGCCTTTGCCAGCTGCCAACAGCTGCTGCCAGACTTTGAAGTGCGCCTCTTGCCTGTGCCCATCTCTGTTATTGCCTGTTGTTGCCTTTCTCTGTCAACTGACATTGACAAGTTGGGCGAGTGTCGCGGGCATCGTATCCGTTTCCGCTCTTGTTTCGCTCTCCAAACATTGCACGTGTGTACATTGGCTTATGCATAACCACAAAATGTTGAGTCATAGTTCCACCCACACGCACGCCGCTGCTGTTGCCATTTCCATTCAGTCTTTTTGGCCAGTGTCGTCGCAAAAAAGAAAAAGCTGTCATCAATGTCAGAGATATTTGCTCCATACTGAGCAAAACCGCAGCAGAACAGGATTCTGGTGGTTGTTTCCAGTTTCCAGTTGACTTTTGCATGTTTCACAGATCGATACCAAAGAGAGCGCCGGCCCAAGCAGAGCGGGATAGAGGGAGAGAGGAGTTAGTGATTGGGTCGCTCTCTCTTGCTCTGTTGCGTCTGCAAAACAACCAAATGTGCACATGTGATATGCCCACACCAAAAGAGTAACAGAGGACGCTATCATCGCCCTCTGCTGCTCGAGCAGTTGTTGTTTTCCTTTTGCCAGCCTATTTAATAATTGTGCATTCAGTAAACGTGGCATGGCATTAGAGAATCAAACGCCTCCTCCAGAAAACAGCAATCAACGTTAAATCTCTATAATTTTCGTTGAATTAATTTATTTAATTTTGCCTGCCATGCATAAATGTTGCTCATTAAACTGACAAATGTAAGCCCAAAAATATTAACGTTATGTATTTGGGCTTAATAACACCTAATTTTATATTGTATAGGCCTGAATCATAAGAATTCATAGCATTAATTTACAGGTTTTCAAATCAACAAATTCAAGTCTGTTTTTCAAAAAAATTTTCAGAAATATATTGCAGTGACTTTTTTTATATCGCCTCTTAAGTGTGTTCTTGACAAATTTCTCAGTTATTCTAAGATAAAAAATATATTATTTATGTTTCATTTTAAAGTAAATAAATAGCTTGTTCAATAAATAATTAAAGATATTTGCATGGTTAATATTTAGAATATAAACAGAACGAGCTCACATTAAAAAAGCATTTAAAATCAGAGATAAATTTGAAAAAACTGATATAAATTAGAAATTTTTGAAGTTTTCCGAAAATATTTCCAAAAATGTACATTTTAAAACCATTTCTTCTTAAGAGGAACAAATTTTATATAATGCTTAAACTCTTTTGCAATTAAGAAACTATTTTTATTTTTTTTATAGAATGCATTTTAAGAGTCCATGCATACAAGGGAACATTTTTTAACTGAATGCTAACAGATGTAAACATTACTTTCGTAGTTTTTTACATTTTCAAACGCGCTCAGAATTATGCACTGTATTTCTACGAAATGGAGTAAAAAAAGAATTTGGGCCCGTTTTCGTCCTGCACAGCCTTCACCTGTTTGTACGTCGCCAGGGCCAAACTATGTTAGCTTTGTCATTTGCGCGATTTCAAGGACATTTTCACTATTTGCAGTTGCTTTCTGTGACTGCGTGTGTCTCTGCTTATGTGTGTGAGAATGCCCTTGCATTTGTTGTTGTTGTTTTCACTGCGAATGCTGCCTGCGTATTTATAAATGATGCCAAAAACAATGAAAACAGAACTTGCACTCAAATTGCTCCGCAAATAAGCAGGACGAACAGCTAGCCCTGAAGTATTTTATGTATTGTTAATTGTCTTTGTCACAGCTTTTTATTAATTTATGCACAAAAAGATGTACGTTTTAATGTATGTACATCGTGTGTCCAAAGTCTTGAAAAGTTTTGATTGCCTCGCCAAAAAACATGACCATGGGTTAACATGAAATCAAAAGTCGCAAATATTTGCATTGCTTCGATTTAAAATTGTTTCGGATGGTTTACCATAGTATCCAATATTCATCCCACACACAATTTTATGTGATATTAAAAATAATGAACACAATTTTATATACATATTTTTCGCATTGTCTGTTTATATTCCACAGAGACTTTTTATTTGCATACCATGTCAAAAATTGTATACGACCTGCGTATGGTATGCAAATCGGAATATTCCAAAACCAAGCATTTTTGTTAGGCATATAGCCTAGGTTGAAAATCCCATTAAAATCGTATAGTTTCTGATATATGACTATATGTATAGAGGCAGATTGGCCTACCTGTTAAATGCGTTAGCACAAAGCCAGAATTAAGGGTATTTATTATTATTTTGTTCCCGCTTTATTTTTAATTTTACTGTTATTATGGGAACAACTTTTATGAACATTTACAACACAAGTTATTCTACTGTTAGGTCTAATATAAAAATTTACAAAGATAGGATGATTATATAAACCGATCCGAAAAATCGGTTGAATGAGACCTCGGCAATCTCCTCCGCTTTCGGACTCCTCTAATTCTAAGTCTCTTTGGCACTTTGCCAGACGATTTGGATGATTTCCAAGCCACGTTATATAGTTGGTAGCCTGTATGTTTATAAGGTCCCCGAGTTTGCACACGCATAGGTATTAAGGGTATGCAAAAATCCGTAATACACAAATTCTAAAGATAAAACATGAGCGATAGCGCTATTCATTTATTATGCTCTTATGTATGTATCTTGAATACATTTACATGCGCTCATGTTCTATAAAAATAAACATATGTATATGTAATCCGTCAACGACTTCAAGGTTTGCATGCACTTTTCATAGCCTAAATTTGTACGCCAGTTGTTAGTGTTGAAACGCGAGCGTAGGAGTAAAAAAGCTGCCTTTTGACCACCAGAGGCAGTTGCAAA